AATTACATAACCGTGGATTAAACGCCAAGCTGGCTCTGCTCCTTCTGACCATTTCACATTGAGTCTAAATGGTAACATCAAAAAAACATTCAGCTGGATTCAGTCCGATTTAGCAATTCCGCAGTTATCATTTGCATAAAACTAAATTCAGCTGAATTCAGCCAGATTCAACAGTTTTTTTAATACCAACAGATATGTAGATACACTCATTTCTGGTAAAAATTTGGATAATAACGTGTACACACATCGAATTAATATATTTTGGATTATCAAAAATTACACATCAAATTTATATTTTAAAATAAATCAGATTATAGAGATGCGATATATGAATAATTCAAATACATAAAACCACTAATAAAATAGGCAAGAAGCGAATTCATGTTCGGATAACTATAGATGATTTTGGATAATTTTATTAATTTTTAGATAATTTAAAATAATTTAAAAAATTTCATAAAAACAACTCACACCTATGCTAAATTATTATTTAAAATAGATTTTTTAATAAGTTTTTTAATTTTTCAGGTCATATTATTGATTAAACTACTAGATAACAATAAAAAAAACACAATTATATAATCTTATTATATTATCATGTTAATTTTTAAAATTAATCTTCCAATAATGCTTTGACAAAACTTCTTTCATTAATTATTTACATTTTTTTAATAGTTCAAAAATTATTTATATTTGTAATAAGTTTAGATAATTTAGTATTTATTTATTAGTATAACAATTAATTAGACCATTTGATGATTTTATTTATTTTATTTAGATATCTTCTTTGGTACTCTATTAATATTCATAATTATTTGATGATATTTTCAGTTAAAGTCTTAATTATTCTGACAGATGGTATCAAAAATCACAAAAAAATTCAGCTAGATTCAGCAGTTATCATTTAAAAATATAAAAATTCAGCCAGATTCAGCTGAAAATCACTAAAAATTCAGCAAAATTCAGCAATTCAGCTGAATTCAGCCAGATTCCTCGGTTACCATTTAGACCCATTGTCCCTCTTTAAAATTTTAAACTATTTTCTTCAACTTTCCATCAGATGATTCCTTTATTTTCTTACCATTTACAATCTCAAATTATTACTATTATGTTAATTTCCAATCAATATTTTGGGTCCTATGCAAACTACATTATAAAGAAAATTTGGTTCCAGTCATTTTCATTATCTAATGTATAAATTAAATTGTAATTACATATTCATGTATCAAATTTTTTAGAAAAAGGTCTAAAATAATAAAAGAAAATGATTTTGAAAAGGAGCAATATTCGCCATAAAGGAGTTATTTTAATAAATTGGAAATAATTCTAAAGAGAGAAGGGTTAAAAAGTAATTAAAAATAGATATGGAGAGTGGGAAAGTGAAGTGATAAGAGAGAGAAAGTGAAAGCTTTCTTCTGTGTAAGTCTAGAGAGGTGAAAGAGAGAGGAGAGTTTGGAATTTGATCTGTGTGGTTGGATTGTTGCGAGAACTAAACCAGACCCACCTTCAAAACATTAATCATTCATTCTCCTGTGTGAGCTCTTCTTCTTCTTCTTCTCTTTTCTTCTTTTGGGGGTTTTTGAAGCTTCTTCAGTGGGACAAAAAGAGTGTGTTTTTGGGTGACAATGGGAGGAGTGGTGCATCTTAGCACGGTGAAGTTAGCTAGAGGTTTCTTAGTGTGTTTATTTCTTTGGGGGTTTTTCTCGCTATCATACGCTGCTAGGTCCGGCGTATCAAAGCAGAAGTTTGAAGTGAAGAAACATTTGAACAGGTTGAACAAACCTGCTGTCAAAAGCATTCAGGTAAATCTTTTTTTTAGTGTTTTGGTGTTTTCTATTTGGATTGGTTTTTGATAGACAAATGAAGGATCTTTAGAACATTATCATAATCTCATGATTTCCTTATTTCTCTCTCCTAATTTTACTTTTATTTTATTTGTTCTATTGAACAATTAATAAACTTTGTCTCAAGATTTTCATAAAAAAGTTATGGTCATAATTGAAAGTTTCTGACTTGAAATGTTATGTTTCTTTGTGGTTGAACAGAGTCCAGATGGTGATATTATTGACTGTGTTCCAATCTCAAAGCAACCAGCTTTTGATCATCCGTTCCTCAAAGATCACAAGATTCAGGTCTAGACACTAAAGAAAGTGATTTAGATCTGGCTTTGTGTTTTATGTTCTAAGTGCTAATGTTTTTATTTACTTTGGTTTCTTTAGATGAAGCCTAATTACCATCCTCAAGGACTTTTTGATGACAACAAAGTGTCTGCTCCTAAATCAAATGAGAAAGAAATGCATATCCCTCAGTTGTGGCATCGATATGGTAAATGTACTGAAGGAACCATTCCCGTGAGGAGGACAAAGGAAGATGATGTTTTGAGAGCAAGTTCTGTTAAAAGATATGGCAAGAAGAAGCGTACAAGTGTCCCTTTGCCTAAATCTGCAGAACCTGACCTTATTAACCAAAGTGGTCACCAGGTGAGAGTCAAGTGTGGCTGTGAAATTGTGAAAAGTTTTATTTTTGTTCGTTTCTGGATCTGAGATGTGTTCTTTGTTTTGGTTTCTTGAATTGTAGCATGCCATAGCTTATGTGGAAGGGGATAAGTACTATGGAGCTAAGGCAACTATCAACGTGTGGGAGCCAAAGATACAGCAGCAGAATGAGTTCAGTTTGTCACAGATATGGCTTCTTGGTGGCTCATTCGGACAAGATCTTAACAGCATCGAAGCTGGTTGGCAGGTACTACAATGTTATCTCATCGATAAACATATAAGATATGTAAATAAGATTTGTGTGTGATTCTTCTTTTATGTTTCGTATATTGATTCTTGTTGCTTTTACTACAGGTGAGCCCGGATCTGTATGGTGACAATAACACAAGACTCTTCACTTACTGGACTGTAAGATTCTGAAATCTCACCTAATTAAGTTCTTCATATGCTTCTGTTTCTGCTTACATTTTTCGCTTTTATCTAACCTCACCATATTATTTGCAGAGTGATGCATATCAAGCTACCGGTTGCTACAACCTTCTCTGCTCGGGTTTTATTCAAGTCAACAGCGACATAGCAATGGGAGCAAGCATTTCCCCGGTCTCTGGATATCGTAATTCGCAGTACGATATCAGTATTCTGATCTGGAAGGTATGTTAAGCCATGAAGAGATAAGTTTAACGCAATCCAAAAGATAAGAAAAGCTGAAATGGTCTGTTTAACTTTGTCACAGGATCCTAAAGAGGGACACTGGTGGATGCAATTTGGGAACGGCTATGTTTTGGGCTATTGGCCATCTTTTCTCTTCTCCTACTTAACTGAGAGTGCATCAATGATTGAATGGGGAGGAGAAGTCGTGAACTCGCAATCAGATGGCCAGCACACTTCAACGCAGATGGGCAGTGGTCGATTTCCAGAAGAAGGCTTTAGCAAAGCAAGTTACTTCAGGAACATTCAGGTAGTTGATGGGTCAAACAACCTCAAGGCACCTAAAGGACTTGGAACATTCACTGAACAGTCTAACTGTTATGATGTTCAAACCGGAAGCAATGATGATTGGGGCCATTACTTTTACTATGGAGGTCCTGGTAAAAACCAGAAGTGTCCATAAACTAGACACCAAGTAGTTACCGGCTCGACTCTCGAGATCTCTTGTCTTGTGAATTCACCATGTTTGTTTCTACACACACTCACTCAAATCCGCCTTCTTGGGTAGTTTTAGGGATGGTTAAAGTTATGTAATGGTAAAAGTTTGGTGTCTTTTTCTCCATGTAAGTAGGTGGGGAAGAAGAAAGGTGTGGCTTAAGTTTCTTTGAAAACTCAGAAACTTTGGCCCTTAGTGTAATTTTACTTTGTCTCCTTTTGTATTGTGATTTGTTTAATCAAGTGAATGAATCTCTCTTTCTCACTCTTATTAACAAATAATTTCAGGAAACTAAAATTAGCTTTTGCCTGAATCTTCATGAAACCTACTCTCTAATTCCCCTTTTTTGACCATTAGAGATTTTATTTTTTGTTTTCTCATCACCTTTTGGTAAATTTGATTTCACATTTAGAGAGAGAGTAAAAGTGATCTGGATTGCATTTGGTGATGACTGATTCATGAACTGTCTCTTTGGATGATCATCTTTTGCAAATGGGTGAATCATATTTTACTTTTTTCCCCCACTTTTTTCACAATAAAGTTCCAAGTATACAATTATGAACTTATAACTTTATAAGTACACAAATACTGAATTACAACAAAACTTTTCCCATAACCTACTTATGTATTTTTCATCATAAATTACAAAAAGATTTTAAATATGCTATTTTCTTAAGTAAAAGATTAAATATTAAAATTTCTCCTTTTAATATTCCAGATCTGCCTTTTGAAAATCAATATGGTCTTGCAGGTTCAGTAGACTATGTTTGACTTAATCGGCTTAAAATTGGGATTAAAGAATATTAGAAACAAGAAAAGCATTAAAAAAAATTGTAATTTGTATTATATATTATATAGTTGAATGATTTAAATTTTGTGACAGAGACATTGGTCTTCCACTTCTTTTTCCTGGTTATGAGCTTTGAGCCTATAACCTGAATTGACTTACTCAAACATGTTTAGTAATTATACTATTTACTCATGGATTAGGTACTATTTTATCATTCTTGTCTTCTTCTATCTTTCTTTCTTTAATCACACAAATCACAATTTTGTCATTCAACATTTTCTGACTAATTTAAAATTTTCAAAAATATATTCTGTGTAATTAGAGAACACATAAATTCAGGTAATAAAAAACAATTAAAAACAGATGTAAGTCTTTTTTGACAAATCTTAATTTAGCTAAATCCGTATCTAAATCATTCCATTCTCACTGACCAATGAGCGTTTCCATCACTTGGTATTTCATTGGTGCGTGATTTTCACACGCGCGTGTAGCGTTTGTTCGGACAGTACCATATCTTTATTTATTTTATTATTAAATTAATTTTTTTTATTCCACAAAAACTTTTTTCTCTCTCTACAATACGGCGTCTCTTTGAGGAAGAGAGAGAGTGAGAAAAAAGGTAGTAGCTTTTTTTTTAGTTACGGGTTCACACATTCGAAGGGTAGGGTTTTAATCTTACCTTCTTTCTCTCTCTCTATCCATTTCCCAAAACCTGAGAAACAAAATTCTCTGAGATTTATTCAAAAAGTTTCAACATTTTACAGAAAGCAGAAGCAAGAAAAAACCCTAAAAGGAAGCTAATTTGTGTTTCACAAGCTCTTAAGAGTGTGAGCCCTAGCTTAGGTTTCTTGCTTTCTCTTACTTTACTGCTTGATTCCTCTGATTTTAAAACCCTAGTGAACCAAATCTGTACCCAAGATGTCTCATTTTGCTTGAGGGCTGCTAAAGTTTCGATTTTTAAGCGATCCCTTCTGCTTCGATGCCACTGCACAGTAAGCTCATTTCGGTCAAGTAGGTAAGGTTTCTATATTTAAGCTGCGTTTTGCGAAATTGAGGTTTGGTTTTTGTGTTCTTGGTTGAATTTAAGCTGCGGATTTGATGATTTGTGCGCAAGCTTGGGGTTTTAGCTTCCCTGTGTTGGAATTTTGATTTCTGAGTTGCATGCCTTTGTAGGTGGGAGAAGAAGCTATGGAAGGGGATGAGCGAGGAGTCTTACTTGCTTGTGTAATTTCGGGTACCCTTTTCACGGTTTTCGGTTTGGGTTCGTTTTGGATACTTTGGGCTGTTAATTGGCGGCCATGGCGGCTCTATAGGTAAATAAGTTCCATCCATAATCATATGTTTTGGCAGCTCTATGTGTTGTTTTTTCATAGATGGCGCTTGATAGAGTTGCTTTACATGAGTAGTTTTTTGACATAGAACCATAGTTGTGTGAATGATTTTGGAATGTGTTCTATTTTTGCAGCTGGATCTTTGCTAGAAAATGGCCAAAAGTATTGCAAGGTCCTCAGCTTGATGCACTATGTGGTGTTCTATCTCTTTTTGCTTGGATTGTGGTAGTATCCCCTATTGCAATCTTGATAGGATGGGGTTCCTGGTTGATTTCGATATTGGATCGAGATATCATTGGGCTTGCGGTAATAATGGCTGGAACAGCCCTTTTACTGGCATTCTACTCAATCATGCTTTGGTGGAGGACCCAGTGGCAAAGCTCAAGTATGTTTATAATCAACTCTTTTTGACTTAGTTTCGCAACATTCTTCTGATGATTGATAATAGTTGTGGCACATAGTGGTAGTGTATGAAGTATCTGATGTAGGAATGGGAAAAAAGCAGAACATACGTGACTCATCAATACTTATTGTGAATGTTCTTGAACTTCTTTCTTACATTCTCCTTTGACCAAACAGGAGCTGTCGCTTTACTTCTCCTTCTTGGTGTTGCCTTACTCTGTGCGTATGAACTTTGTGCTGTCTATGTTACGGCTGGTGCGCATGCATCTCAGCAATATTCTCCTTCTGGTTTCTTTTTCGGTGTATCAGCAATCGCGTTGGCAATTAACATGCTGTTTATCTGCCGCATGGTCTTTAATGGTAAAGTTTACCCAATCCTTACATGGCTTCGCAGTCCTTAATCAACATGCAATTGCGGTGTTTTCAACTTTATCATTCTATTCAATTCTTTGTAATAGCTCAAAGAAAATCTTCCATGTCGATTAACATGTATATGTTTTGACTTCCAACCTCGATCTAAATTGTTGAAATTGTTCACCGCAGGAAATGGGTTAGATGTGGATGAATATGTAAGGAAGGCATATAAATTTGCTTATTCAGATTGTATAGAAGTGGGTCCTGTGGCTTGTTTGCCAGAACCTCCTGATCCCAATGAATTATATCCCCGGCAAACCAGCAGGTAAGTTCTTGTTGCTCTCTACCTAAAAATTCATTAATTTTTGGCATTGCAGGCCCCTTATTTAATGATTGTTCCTGAATTTTGCAATCAACAAACTATTGAATATTTGGAACCAACCTAAATCTGAACAGGATTCAGGGCTAGTAATTTTGCCGTTTCTCTCTAGCTTTTTTTTCCCAATAGAGGTGGTGTGGATGGTGTTATGATTTGTTTATTACTGAGCGCCGAAATGTTCTCTCATTCATATTTTTTATCAATCAGCTGCAATTTTTGCCTACCTGTATTGTCCCTTGAAGATAATTTACAAACATTTTTTTTTCTTGCATATTTGTAGGGCTTCACATCTTGGCCTCCTCTACCTGGGCTCACTCGTAGTTCTCCTTGCCTACTCAGTCCTATATGGCCTCACAGCTAGGGAATCACGTTGGCTTGGAGGAATTACATCAGCTGCAGTTATTGTTCTTGGTAAAAAGATACAAATAATTTACATATATTTGGAGCAGAAGCAGGCTATTTGATTATTCCTCAACTCATCTTCATGCTTAATATTTTCTTGTAGACTGGAATATTGGGGCATGCTTGTATGGGTTTAAGCTTCTTCAAAATCGTGTTCTGGCACTTTTTGTTGCTGGCACATCTCGTCTTTTCCTAATATGTTTTGGCATACACTACTGGTTTGTTTCTGTGCTAAAAGCTTGTTACTTATCTATAGATCAAATTTGTCCCCTTCATGGCATGTAAGTTATTATCCTTTCTGTTGTTGCAGGTACCTAGGGCATTGTATTAGTTACATTTTCGTAGCATCAGTTCTATCAGGTGCTGCTGTTTCCCGGCATCTATCAATAACAGACCCATCAGCTGCAAGAAGAGATGCCTTACAGAGCACAGTGATCCGCTTGAGAGAAGGTTTTCGGAGAAAGGAGCAGAATAGTTCTTCAAGTTCTTCAGATGGTTGTGGCTCAAGTATGAAAAGAAGTAGTAGTATCGATGTTGGCCATGCTGGTTGTACTAATGAAGCTAATCGTACCGCAGAATCTTGCACGGCTGACAATCTAACTCGAACAGGCAGCTCTCAGGAGGGAATCAATAGTGACAAAAGCGTAGAAAGTGGAAGACCAAGCTTAGGTTTACGTAGTAGTTCATGTCGTTCTGTGGTCCAAGAGCCCGAAGCAGGAACGTCTTATTTTCTGGATAAAGTTTCTGATCAGAATAACACTCTTGTTGTTTGCTCTAGCAGTGGTCTAGATAGCCAAGGTTACGAGTCTAGCACATCGAATTCTGCAAACCAGCAGCTTTTGGATTTGAATTTGGCTCTTGCTTTCCAGGACCAGTTAAACGATCCTAGGATAGCCTCGATACTTAAAAAGAAAGCAAAAGAAGGTGATCTTGAACTCACTAGTTTGCTGCAAGACAAGGGGTTGGACCCTAACTTTGCTGTAATGCTGAAGGAAAAAAACTTGGATCCAACTATATTGGCACTACTTCAGAGGAGTAGTTTGGATGCAGATAGAGATCACCGCGACAATACTGATATTACAATCATTGACTCAAACAGTGTTGACAATACTTTGCCAAATCAGATTTCTTTATCCGAAGAATTGAGACTCCGTGGACTAGAGAAGTGGCTTAAGTTGTCTAGACTTCTTCTGCACCATGTAGCGGGCACACCAGAGAGAGCATGGGGCCTCTTTAGTCTTGTCTTTATCCTTGAAACAATCATTGTGGCCATTTTTCGCCCGAAGACCATCACGATTATAAATTCTAGTCATCAACAGGTGAGTTCCACCCTCTGATTCTTGTCTCTGTGGAAATTTTTTGGGTCTTGTTTTGGCTGCAAATTACTGCCAATTTACTCAAATTGATCCTTGTAATTTAAATGAAGGTTATTTGTACCTTTGCTAACTCACTTGTTATATAATTGTAGTTCGAATTTGGTTTCTCTGTGCTGCTATTGTCACCTGTTGTCTGTTCAATAATGGCTTTTCTTCGGTCTCTTCAAGTTGAGGAAATGGCCTTGACATCAAAATCTCGCAAGGTATGGCTCGTCTCTTTGGTTTAGTATGTTCGTTAGTACTTGTGGACAATGCAGATACCGTGTGATGTTTTAATTGTTCTAAATTATGTTATGTTTCTTTGTTTTCAGTATGGCTTTGTTGCCTGGCTTCTGAGCACTTCAGTTGGATTGTCACTCTCGTTCTTGAGGTATGACTACTGCCAACTTTTCGCACAATGGTCACAGGATTATGTCATTCATTGGACTGCTACCAACTTTTCTCACATGGTCACATTTTTATGTTCTCACTACAAACATCATGCATGCTTCAATTTTGCAGTAAATCGTCAGTACTTCTGGGAATATCCTTGACTGTGCCCCTCATGGCAGCATGCCTGTCTATTGCTGTTCCCATATGGATGCATAATGGGTACCAATTTTGGGTACCACAGTTATCATGTGGTGACCAGGCAAGAGATTTACGATCTCCCAGGATAAAGGTATGTGTATTTTCCCTGACCTAGTTGCAAGTATCTCTCTTTGTCAATTAAATATCTCTAACTAAACTTTCTTTCCATTTTAGGGGTTTATTCTTTGGATTTGTGTTGTGTTGTTTGCGGGATCTGTAATTGCTCTTGGCGCAATTATATCTGCTAAACCTTTGGATGATTTAAAGTATAAGCTGTTTAGTGCCAGAGAAAACAACGTCACGTCACCATATACATCTTCTGTATACCTTGGTTGGGCAATGTCATCTGGAATTGCTTTAGTAGTTACCGCCATTCTGCCAATAGTTTCATGGTTTGCAACTTATAGGTTTTCCCACTCTTCTGCTGTCTGTCTCATGATATTCTCAGGTAATTTGTGTTTCTGTTAGTTTGCTCACATTTGGTTGCGATTTGTTTCCTTCTCTAAGTAATCCTTATATGCCTTTCCGTCTACTTTCTAGTTGTTCTCGTGGCATTTTGTGGAACATCATATTTGGAAGTTGTGAAATCTAGAGATGATCAGTTGCCCACAAAGGGTGATTTCCTTGCGGCCTTGCTTCCACTTGCATGCATTCCGGCGCTGCTTTCACTATGCTGTGGGATGGTTAAATGGTGAATGACTGTTTTTTCACATTGCCTATTAAATCTTACTCTCAGTTTCAATGAGATCGTCTTTTTTAATGTTTTGTGGTTGTTCTTTACAGGAAGGACGATTGTTGGATATTATCTCGAGGTGTATATGTTTTTTTTTCAATAGGTCTTCTTCTTCTTTTTGGTGCGATAGCAGCTGTTATTGCAGTCAAACCATGGACGGTAAGTGCAAAGTTGCTTACACAATTCTCAAAGTTTTTGGCTGAATTTTCTCCATCTGATGCAGCGTTGTGTTTCAATAATAACAGATAGGCGTGTCTTTTCTCTTAGTTCTTTTCATTATGGTGGTAGCAATTGGTGTAATCCATCTTTGGGCGTCAAACAATTTCTATTTGACCAGGAAACAGACATCCTTTGTCTGCTTTCTTGCCCTTCTTTTGGGCTTGGCCGCATTCCTTCTCGGATGGCATCAAGGTGAGGATTGCTCATATCTTATTTTAGACTCTTCGTAGAGGTGAGACCTACTCTAGTGATACAGCAATTTCATACATGTGTTTTTTGTTTGCAGATAAAGCATTTGCTGGAGCATCTGTTGGTTATTTTACATTCCTGTCTCTTTTGGCTGGAAGAGCATTAGCTGTGAGTTCAACAGAACTGTGGCTTTTTCTGTTTCTGTATTCAGCCGGAGTATTTACTATTTTTTTTTTCTTTTAGGTTCTTCTATCCCCACCAATTGTGGTATATTCTCCAAGGGTACTACCAGTATATGTCTACGATGCTCATGCTGATTGTGGAAAGAATGTCAGGTATGTAGCCACTTGAGTACCCCTAACAGTATTGCATCTGCTGATCTGAAATAATGACCATAAAGGATTATGCTGATCTACTCTCATATGCTTTTGTATTGATTGCATTGGGATTTCTCCAGTGCTGCATTTCTTGTCCTGTATGGAATTGCTTTGGCAACAGAAGGCTGGGGTGTTGTTGCTAGTCTGATAATATATCCTCCGTTCGCTGGTGCTGCTGTATCAGCTATCACCCTTGTAGTAGCCTTTGGGTTTGCTGTTTCTCGCCCGTGTTTGACTCTTGAGGTTAGTTTTCTTGTCGTTTGATTTATTTGTTCCTTAAAATAAAGATTATTGGTTAGTGATTCATTTGAATCACTTCGCTAATTCCTTCTGATGGTCTTCAGATGATGGAGGTTGCTGTACGTTTTCTTAGCAAGGATACTATAGTGCAAGCTATCTCTCGATCTGCCACGAAAGTAAGTTACACTCTGATGTGTCTCTTGAAAATTATATTGATATTCTATTATTGGCCTTATTTCAACACATTCACGTAATATGGAGCTCCATGGGATGTATGATTTATTCCGCCTTTGCAACTTATTAATTACAGACAAGAAATGCTCTATCCGGCACGTATTCAGCTCCCCAAAGGTCCGCCAGCTCTGCAGCTCTTCTGGTTGGGGACCCCTCTGCAATGCGTGATAAAGCAGGGAATTTTGTGCTTCCTAGAGATGATGTCATGAAATTAAGGGATCGTCTCAGGAACGAAGAAAGAGTTGCTGGATCAATCTTCTACAAAATGCAATGCAGGAAAGGATTCCGTCATGAACCACCTACAAATGTAGATTACAGAAGAGACATGTGTGCCCATGCAAGAGTTTTGGCGCTGGAAGAGGCAATTGATACAGAATGGGTGTATATGTGGGACAAGTTTGGTGGTTATTTACTACTATTGTTAGGTTTGACAGCTAAGGCGGAGAGAGTTCAGGTGAATCCTGATTCTAAATTTTCATATATTCTTCTCTATGTATGTCTAAGACGGGATTATCACGATGTTGTAGGATGAGGTACGGTTGCGGCTTTTCTTAGATAGCATTGGGTTCTCGGACTTAAGTGCCAGAAAAATCAGTAAATGGAAGCCAGAGGATAGAAGACAATTTGAAATTATTCAAGAGAGGTACAAATTTCTTATAATTATGTGGTTTGATGAAGCTGAACACTTACATTGTTGCCTATCATTTTCTTTTGTGTTGTAAACTTTAGTTATCTGAGAGAGAAAGAGATGGAAGAGGAAAGCCTTATGCAGAGACGTGAAGAAGAAGGGAGAGGCAAAGAAAGAAGGAAAGCTCTTTTGGAGAAGGAAGAACGCAAATGGAAGGAAATTGAAGCTTCCCTTATTCCATCTATTCCTAATGCTGGTAGCAGGGAGGCAGCAGCCATGGCAGCTGCAATACGTGCTGTTGGGGGTGATTCTGTCCTTGAGGATTCCTTTGCAAGAGAGAGAGTCTCGGGTATTGCACGTAGGATACGCACTGCTCAACTAGAACGTCGCGCACAACAGGTTAGAACTAAACTTATTTTTATATATTGCAAGTGTACTTTCTTATGATTCCGATTGCTGGAGAATTAACTAAGAAAAGTTATTACTAGACTGGAATATCTGGGGCAGTTTGTGTTCTTGATGATGAACCTATGATAAGTGGTAAACATTGCGGCCAAATGGACTCAAGTGTCTGTCAAAGTCAGAAGATTAGCATTTCCGTTACAGCAATGATCCAATCCGAGTCTGGACCTGTATGCCTTTTTGGCACTGAATTTCAAAAGAAAGTCTGTTGGGAGATTCTGGTTGCTGGTTCTGAGCAAGGAATTGAGGCTGGCCAAGTTGGGCTTAGGTTGATAACAAAAGGTGAGAGGCAGACAACCGTGGCTAGAGAGTGGTATATTGGTGCAACCAGCATAACTGATGGAAGGTCTAACTCTTTTTCCCAGCAGTTTCCATATTGCAGAATTTATTTAGAGGATTTTTGTGATTCATATTTCTCATGATCTGGTTTGGCGAAAGTTTCTGATTTTATCATGGATTTCTGTCATATTTATATTTGTGGTTTCAATCACAGGTGGCATACAGTGACAATCACAATTGATGCTGATGCGGGGGAAGCTACTTGTTACGTAGATGGTGGGTTTGATGGCTACCAGACTGGGTTACCCCTAAGTATTGGTAGTGCCATTTGGGAACAAGGAGCTGAAGTTTGGTTAGGTGTTAGGCCACCTATAGATGTTGATGCATTCGGGAGATCAGATAGTGATGGAGTCGAATCAAAGATGCATATTATGGATGTTTTCCTTTGGGGGAAATGTTTAAGTGAAGACGAGGCCGCTTCTTTGCATGCGGTGATTGGCATGGCTGACTTAGACATGATTGATTTGTCTGATGACAATTGGCAGTGGACGGATTCACCCCCTAGAGTATGTTTTCCTTCTGTTGAATGTTGACATATTTTTTTCAGTCCGATGTTTGTGGAGGTATAATGTTAAAACCCATACTAATTTTTGTTGATTCCTTTTTCTCTTTTTACCAGGTTGATGGTTGGGATAGTGATCCTGCCGATGTTGATCTCTATGATAGGGATGACGTAGATTGGGATGGACAATTTTCCAGTGGGAGGAAAAGAAGATCAGGTCGGGATTTTGTAATGAGTGTCGATTCCTTTGCTAGGAGACACAGGAAACCCAGGATGGAGACACAAGAAGATATGAATCAAAGAATGCGTTCAGTTGAGTTGGCTGTCAAAGAAGCTCTCTCTGCACGAGGTGATAAGCAATTTACTGACCAGGAATTTCCTCCAAATGATCGCTCTTTATTTGTGGATACACAAAATCCCCCTTCAAAATTGCAGGTATGGATTGTTAAATTTTTCTCCTTTCTTCTGTTTTTAGTTAAATATCCTCACTCCTTTAAGTGATTATATATCTGGACACAAAATCTGCCTTCACATAGATCAAGTAAAGTTAACAACTTGATGGGCACTCTAACCTTTTAAGTGTCATAATTTCAGGTTGTTTCTGAATGGATGAGACCTGACTCCATTGTAAAAGAGAACGGTAGTGATTCCCGTCCCTGCCTGTTCTCCGGGGATGCAAATCCTTCAGATGTTTGCCAGGTTTGATCAATTACTTTTTCTGTTCATTTACTTTTTCGTGACTGTCTTGTATGCATGTCATTCAAAATGATCCCAGAGATTTATTCTTGCGATTGGGTTAACTTGTTCTATAGGGGCGTTTGGGGGATTGTTGGTTCTTAAGCGCCGTTGCAGTTTTGACAGAGGTTTCACGAATATCTGAAGTGATCATTACTCCTGAATACAACGAGGAAGGGATCTACACTGTTCGTTTTTGTATTCAGGTTCCTGTCTCAAACATTCTTTCACGGCACTGCTTTGTTCTCTTGATTGTAGATTCGTGCAGGTTCTTCTATGATTTATGTACAATCAGAGGTTTCAAGTTTGATTGCTTTCCCCTTGCAGGGTGAGTGGGTTCCTGTTGTGATCGATGACTGGATACCATGTGAATCACCTGGTAAACCAGCTTTTGCTACTAGCAAAAAGCTCAATGAACTCTGGGTCTCCATAGTGGAGAAAGCATATGCCAAGCTCCATGGTTCTTATGAGGCACTGGAGGGGGGACTGGTTCAGGATGCTCTTGTTGACCTAACTGGAGGAGCTGGTGAGGAGATTGACTTGCGGAGTGCTCAAGCACAAATTGATCTTGCAAGTGGCAGATTATGGTCTCAATTGTTACGCTTTAAACAAGAAGGGTTCTTACTTGGTGCTGGAAGTCCATCAGGATCTGATGTTCATGTATCTTCCAGTGGCATTGTGCAAGGGCATGCTTACTCCGTCTTACAGGTATTCCCTGGTACTTTGGTTGCATTTGTGATATACTGAGTAGGAGAACACAATTTAACATATTTACTTACTGTCTTTCTTCAGGTGAGAGAGGTCGATGGGCACAGACTTGTTCAGATCCGAAATCCATGGGCTAATGAAGTTGAGTGGAATGGTCCCTGGTCAGACACATCCCCAGAGTGGACTGATAGGATGAAGCACAAGCTGAAGCATATTCCACAGGTAGTTTCTCTTGCCCTTCACTTCTCTACGGCTCATTTCTTTTGTTCCTTGAATTCTTTTAGCCTGATTAGGGGGCCTAGCTTCAGAAACTGGTAAAAGATTTTGCTTTACTGTTAACAAGGGGACATACATGGACAAAACATAGTGCTCACAAACACATAGTTGCGTGTAAATATATGTAATTATGCTATGGTTTGTTCAAGTAAAGTATATTGCGTACTGATCCTGTGCATTCTGTTAAACAGTCAAAAGAAGGTATATTCTGGATGTCCTGGCAAGATTTCCAGATTCATTTCAGATCAATATATGTTTGTCGGGTTTACCCCCGTGAGATGCGCTACTCTGTACATGGCCAATGGCGAGGGTATAGTGCCGGTGGCTGCCAAGATTATAGCTCATGGCATCAAAATCCACAATTCAGGCTGAGGGCAACTGGTTCTGATGCATCTTTGCCAATTCATGTGTTCATCACCTTAACTCAGGCACGTGCTATTTCTTGATGGAAACTTTTTCTATATATAATTCTTATGTAACTATCCTCAGCTCATTCTCCCAATGTTACTTACAGGGCGTAGGTTTCTCAAGAACAACTCCTGGATTTCGTAACTACCAATCAAGCCATGATTCACAGTTGTTCTATATCGGAATGAGGATTCTTAAAACTCGTGGACGTCGTGCTGCTTACAACATATTTCTTCATGAATCTGTTGGTGGAACAGACTATGTGAATTCCCGGGAGATATCATGCGAAATGGTTCTTGACCCTGATCCTAAGGGTTATACTATTGTCCCAACCACTATACACCCTGGGGAAGAAGCACCTTTTGTCCTTTCAGTCTTTACAAAAGCATCCATTGTTCTTGAAGCTTTGTAGTGCCCGTATAGTCAGATGGTCTCACATCAACCGGCATGCCATGAAATCATCCAAGTGCTTGTGTTGTTTATGGAACCAGACGGCTTATGTCTCAATGTTAAGACTTTGTTTGCCCACGATCAGCAACATTAGAGAAGGTAAATTTCTTGAACTTTCTGCAAGGATTGCTTTTTTCTGATCCTCCCACTCACTATTCCTCATTCGTACTTAACTCTCTCCTTAACAGCGTCTGATCTGATAGCTGGCCATCATCTGGTGAATCTTTGAAGTCTCGGGATGAAATGTTTTATTTATTGTCCTGATTTGAACCACGAAGCTAACTGCTGAGAGGATAACTTGCACTGGAGAAAGCGCTTTTCAGGCATGGCTAACCGGCATTCCATCTCAATCTTGAGACATGCATCAAATGTACATTTGTAGGTATTGCGACAAGTACAGATTTATTAAATGTAGAATAACTACTTCATAAACAAGGAGAGAAATAGGAGACTTGTGACTTGTTAGGTAAATGTTTGGTACTCGGTAGTGGTAGCTGCAGTTTTGGTTGGTGTGTTGTAATATCCAGACACTAATCTGTGTGCAGATTTCGTTTCCACTCTAATATATAAGCACTCTCTACCTCTCTCGTTCTCTTTCACTGTTTCTCTATCTCTTAATCTGGGTTTGGAGTTCTCATTACACTCGCTCATCCATGTCTAAATGGAGATTCTAGAACTCATCATGAATCGTTGTTGTGTACACGATTTGTCTATGTGCAGATCAACAAGTAAAACAAGCAAAATGTGAGAAAAGAGACAGATTAAGAAGATAGATTAGCTTTGAAAGCAAAACATCATCAAAAATACAAGTGCCTCATTTTTAACCTGTAGAAATGAAGAGAGGCATCTCAAAATGTAATGAAAAAGCGAAATACATCCTTTCTGCCCCTCACCAAAATCTTGAATATTTCTTTTAAGTTCTTTTTCTTCGATGGTTCTTCACTCCGAGTCGCTTTCCATGCTCCCCATTGCCTTCAATCCTCTTGGTCTCTACATGAAAATATGAATGTATCACACCTCTTTGCTAGTACATAAACACTAACATCCACAAAGAAACGAGAAAGAGAAAAATCTTATACCTTCTTTGAAGTCTTCTTCTCTCTTACTTCATATCTCTCTTTGCACAGATCTGATAACCAAGCTCCTGGACTCACCAGCTGCATTATACATAATCATGAGATAAAAGTGGTTATGAAGAATACAAATGGTAAGTTTTCAAAGAGACTCACAAGCAATGTCTTCTGAACCAATTTGGCTCGTTTCTTAGGTCTTTGAGGAAGCTTGCAACCTTTCATAGCCAAGAAATCTTCTTCCTTCTCTTTATTTGACAAAGTTATAAACAACTTTGGCCACACATGCTTCTTGGTTTCTTTCACAGGTTCCTTAATAATTTTTCCACTCTCATCTATACCCATCGAACCCCTAGTTGTGTAATACCTATCTTCCTTCTCAGGCGACGCCACAAACGATCTCCGTACATTGACTAGAGAATCTGTGATCCTATCACCACATAAACATAACAATGTTTTACATAAAAAAACACTCACAAACAAACCATTTCATCCCTTTTGTCCCTAATCGAACTTACTTGTTAGGACGGTTAAGATGTCGAGAAGGCGAGCCTCTCTCAGAAGAGACAGCACGCGAAATGAGTTTACGTTTAGTCAAGCAATCAGTTGATTTGCCATTTGTAAGGCTTTGATCTTTCTTAACTTTCATACATCTAACTCTTTTTCTTTCTCCCCATTGCAACACAAAATCTGCCTCTGTGGTTCCACTCCCTCTTTGTCCCTTTACTTCCTCCATTACACAACACTAATCCTCTCTCTCTTAACCTTACAAAACCAACAAAGAAACATAAACTCAGACATTGAAAACTCTTCCAGAAATAGACCAAACAAATCTAGAACAATCACTAAGAAAGTTCTTGCTTTTTTTATAGATTAAATGCACACAAAAGGGGAAAAAAATTCTGTTTACAATCCTGTTTACAATCATACAAGTTTCTGATTTCTAACAACTAATTGAAATAAACCACAGATAACAAAACAAAAAAAGACAAATCAGAACTAATTGGTTGAAACAAGACTCACTAACCTCAAGATCTGCAACTTAAACTCAGCGACTTAGCTTCCAGAATCACCCTACAAAGCAGCAATATCCAAAAACAGTATAAAAAAAAACCAGAAAAAGAGACTAAAATCTATAAATCAGATAGTGTTTACTGCAGAATCGATTCTTCAATATTTACATAGAACACAAACACACCATTGTATATACCTCGACAGTCAAATAAATACAGAAACAAGAGTATAAACACTTACAAGAGTGAAACTTGATGAAACCAAAGACAGAAGAAACTTGGATGAATTATTAGGTAAAATGGTGAGGAAAAAAAAAAAAAAAAGTTGTTTCTCTCGAAAGATAGAGAGATTCAAACTCCACAAAATAATAATTCAGGATTTGTTTTCTGGATTTTTTTAATATCTCGATGAGACCAGAAGATCGAAACACTGTTTATCTATCTTCTTTAAACACACACACACAAAAGAAATATAAACTGCGGTCTTTACTGCGACGCTCACCTTTTTTTTTTTTTTTTTTTTGTTGCTCATTTTAATTTAATAATGAGAAAAATAATGTGATTGATAACAACCGTCAGATACGAAATGGACGGTGAGATGGGCTTCTAGAAGTTAAAAAGCCTAAGCCTGTTGTGTTTTTGATAAAGAGAACTCGTTATGGGATATCAACAAATCATATTATGACACGTGTATTATTTTGTCGAGTACACGTTAGTACGGTTTCAGCGGATAATAAACACCATGCCATATGTCTGGCGAGAAGATCCAAAATAAGATTTTGCGTTAAGAAGACACTAAAAAGATTTTGTCCCACGCGCCAATGACATCTGATTTCACAGATCTAACCAAAATCGCCTTTGGCTTTTACAGGGCGGTGAATATCACGCTCGAGAGCTGCGTGTGTGATTAGATTTAAACCCTTTTCAAAAACTTATATCCAAACTTGGGCTTATATAGGGCTGGGCTTTGGTAGTGAGGCTTTTCACAGAATTTTTTAAATTTTCCAATTTCATCATTTATATAGTTATAGCTTTATTTTTATTTTTTTCTTCAATCCCTCGAATAACAACGTAATATTTTATATATTCGAGAAAGAAAAAGAAAACATATTTTTCTTGGATTATTATCTCTATTTTTGATATATTTATTTTTATAATAAATGTAATCTTCTCTTTTCAAATATGAATATATAGACATTGGGAGTGCTAGCTTGCAATCAAGCCCAATGAGTTTCAAATATTTGATCTGAAACTGACAGTATACCCTTCACACATAACTGCAGACATCTGTAAATCGTGTCTAGATTTCAATCACTCTTAAGCCTAGCATAGAGTAAAAGTATCGTAGTTCTTCTTTTTTTTCTTTCTAAATAAATAGAAAAACAATACTTTTAACCTGAGAGAGATAATAAAGAACTTGAAACTTAAATATGTACAAGTCTATATTATATTTATGTATATCGTATTGTAAAAGACAACTGCATTAGTCCAGTAGTCACCAGTACATATATAACAACTTTTTTCTTAAATGTATTTTTGTTGTTAAAGTTCTTAAATGTAATTGTGGCTCTCTTCACATTAAAACCAAAAAAAAAAAAAAAATGTAATCGTGGCTCTATGCATATATTTCTGAAATTCCAAACGGCTATGTGTTGTTCTCTTTTCTGGTCAGTCACATTTATTTATCTTACAATAATTTATTCTTAAAAAAGGTTTATATGTGTTTGTCTATAACTTCATAATAAGCAATAAAAAGGAGGCAAACTGAGTTTTCAAAACATATTTTTGAACAAAAGTAACTAGATTTGAATCTCACCAACGGTCCACTAGATTTTAAAGTTCCAACTTGGAACTCATTATTATGCTTTGGTCGGAAAAGTTTACACTTTTATTTTCAAATCTCGTTGCGGCCTTTGTGATTTAAAACTCAAACGGTTAGTTCTAATTCCTTAAAAACACGAAACCGGAAGGATAATTAAATATAGTTAGTGAATAGTACTTATGAAAAAAATCAAAATAAAAGAGAGTGGATTACTCATTTTAACTTCAAAATTCGAAAACAAGAGTAACAAACAAAGACTTCGTATGTTATGTTGTTAGGGTCTACAAAAGCAGTCCAGCCTCATGCATATCAGCATATGATTATGCATCATTGTATGTTTGGTATTTGTAAGCTTTTCCAGCTATTTTATTTTGTTATCTTCTTCTTTGGTCAGTTTGATTTTTTTGTATACGACTTTTAAAAGTATTCAACTGATATACTAATTCTTTTCTTTTGTAATTGGGGTAGTTGGTCATTTTCATAGTTTGGTGTGAATGTTGGTATTAACATCACTAATTTCAAGGAAACACTAAAACCGCTAATTGACCCTTTAATGCAATCAGAAAATGATTGTCTCTTAAAAAAAATTTAGATAAAAGGAAAGGAGTATTCTAAAATATAGTTTTGATGAAAATAGTTATGTATATAATATGTTTATTGTTTAATTAATAAAAAATACGTTTATTGAATTAACGCTTAGCAAATTTGCTTGCAAACTAAGTAAAACCTCTATATATTAATAATGTTGTGACTAAGATATTTTATTAATTTATAAAAGTATTAATTGATAAAAATTAACCCAAGACTGGAAATAATTTATTAATTTATAGAAGTTTTATTGTACTTTGCTTTTGTAAATTTTATGTAGGAATCAATTATGGATTTGCCATTTTTTTGGATGGCATTTGTGGATTTTGCCCTTTTTTGAATAGTTTATGGATTTTGTCCTTTTTCAGGCTACGAAAATATGATTTAACATGCGTTTTATTCGTTATGTTTGGGTTTAGTCGGTTGTGGTTGTTCTTAGGGTTTAGTATTTTGTATAAACTACGTATTTTTACCAAAAAAAACCGAAATACGTACATTTTTAAATATTAAAAAATGGCATATCCGTAAGATTTTATTAAAAATGGCAATTTCAAAAGATTTCTATAAAAAATGGCAAAATCAACAATAATCCCTTTTATGTAGAGTTTGGTTATTCTTTACTTGTAAAAGCTAATCTCCAAATATAAGAAAAAACTAACTTTATTACTTGGCTCATCTAAATCTCATCTAGAGTTTGGTTATTAATAGCACTAAGTAATAGCTAATCTTAAAATAAGGAGAATACAACCTTTTTAAATACACTAACAAAGGTAGATGTAACTTCTTATCCTTTGAACAACTCATGTAAAGACACAAATACAAAATTTATTACAATCAAAAGAAAAAATTAGTAAAAAATATTATTAAATATTTTTGTGAGGTTGGAAAGAAAAAAAGGACAGTGGTTGAGAAAAAGAAGAATGTGGTTTGGGCCAAGAGACAGCCAATTTGCCAGCTGTAAAATGTCATACAATTGTTGTATAAATAGACAATACCATCCCCACAACTATTATCATCACAACACACACAAATCCAAACAAGAATAACAAAATCTTTCTCTTAAAAAAATTCTTATTTCAAGACATCAAAGGAGAAGTAATGGAGGCAATGAAGATGAAGATGATGATGTTTGTTATGGTTGTTGCGGTGGCTTTTTCAGCTGCGGCAGCTGCCACCGTGGAAGCTCCAGCTCCAAGCCCAACTTCTGATGCTGCTATGTTTGTACCAGCATTGTTTGCATCTGTTGTTGCTTTGGCATCTGGTTTCATCTTTTGATCATTCTTTTTATTCTCTATTATTTAATTGTATTTGTTAATGAGTTTGTGTGATTTGATTCTATTGTTTAGAATGTTGCATTCCTAATGTAACCATCCGTTTCTCTATGTATCTATGTGTATCATCAATTCATCAGACAGTTTATGAGATCGTTTATTTTTAACACTTGGTGTGCTTATGGCCCTTGTTATCGTAATCCATTAAAAGGCACTACATAACCTGTCTTGGAAGTTACAAGAATATCAGATTTCAGGGATTTGGGTTGACACAAGGATCAATAAGAGATGATAATACTTTGTCTTAAGGGTCGATGGAATCAATGACGTGATGAGCTGTATTTAGATGGTTGTGTGGGGGCAACTATGATGTGACATCGTCATCATGATTATCATGATGTCGTTATGGTGCCTTGAGGCAACATAAGTTCCCATGTGAGTATGTGACTCACCTCAGAAAAGATATCCCCACAATAAATGACATCACATAAAATTGCAATAATCATATATGTAACTCGAGATAGAAACCAGAATAAACATTCTCTTGTGCAAACTGATCAATGCTGTTGACTTTAGGGCTAAAACATAATCTAAATCACAAATATGAGTGCCAATACCTATAAGGTTAATCCTAAATACAAAGCATTTGATTGTGAGCAAGTTCCAATAACAAGACATAAGTGTAAAAACATTCATAGGCAACTTTTCATACCAAACCACCCATCCAATAAGCTTCCAATACTTTATCTCATCTAACCAAACCTTACTTTGTCTTTTATATATAATAGAATAAACTTAAGGGTAAGATTGGGTACGTGGGACGATTTAGACAGAGAATCTGTTTAAGCCATGTGATGCATAGAAGAAAGTGGCTGGCAGTAAGAATGGGACCATACCATAGCATTTAAGTGCTCCTGCTTCGCCTGGAAAGAGAGAAAGAGAGAGAATACGCCTTTGTAAATGGCCGCTGCTTTTATCGTCCATTTACTTGCTCTCCATTTCTTCTTATGTGTCCTGAAAATCACAAGTTCAATGGATAAAGACACTGATTATACCAGTTCTGTTATAGCAAAATCTAGAGATAAGTTAAGTAGCTTACCAGATGAGAAACGGGGGCAACACCTTAGGAAGTTGCAATCTGTAAGCTAACAGATAGCATCAAGATGGTCCCGGGGCAGACAAAGAGAGACTCTGAAAATCTGACTCTATTGTCAGAATTTTCAGCTGCACAACTCATACAACAGTCAGGATCCATTATATGACTGATCAAGAGAGAAACATGATGTTCAGCTTAAGGTACCAGAATTTTACAAGAACATAAGTCAGCCCTGAGAAACCCATATGAATTATCTTGCTAAATTTACAGTGGGATGATAAATAATGTTGAATTACAAATACAAGGGTTATAAAGAAACTAACCTATGCACCTAAGTGAATCAGAACCAGTAGAGCAAGCCTTAAATGCTAATTTTTACAGATTTCATAAGCACCAAATCAAAACCTCGACTACATCTACTACATCTACACCATTTCTTCCTACTTCGTTGTAACATATATATCACTGGTGAAATAACCCGAGATACCTACGCGCCTTAAATATGACAAGACTACTCCGGAGGTGCAGGATGAAGTTTGCAGAAAGATTGGTCTAATCTTCTGATAGAGAACTTTAGTGATCTGCATTCTTTTGCATTGTTTTAAACTCCTGTCTTAGTTCTTTGTCTGCAAAGTGAAGCAGACGTCTCAATCTCAGAACCATATCACAGTGAAACGGCAATGCCGTCCGCCTGTCCAGATATGCTGGACTAACAGTCATCCATGATAGAGCATGGAGTTCTGCCGCAATTGACTCAAGGATAAGATGGCTTTCAACCTCAAAATCTCTAGTTTCTTTGGTCCCTCCTCCCTGCTTCATGATTCCCTGAAGAATTCTGTCATGAGCATTGTCATAACCACCATAATAGTCTATGAGACTTACAGAAAGAACTGATGGCCATTCTTCTTTCATGTTTATTCTTGAGTCTTTTCTCATGGAAGGCACAGCTTTTGAAACAACAAATCCAGTAGACAAGGGGATTGCACAGCCTTTGCTCTGAAGGAGGTGAGCAAGTGGAGGTGACTCGGCAGTTAAACATGTAGGAAGCTGAAGAGGACTTGGGTGAAGAAAGCGCATGTTGGGTGATGGTATCATCATGTAAGAGAAAGCGGTAGACCCAAGAGACTTGACAGGAGTGAAACCTTCAATGTAGTTAACAGAACTCATACCAGTACTATTCTGGCCACCTCCTGCATAATTGTGCATATAACCATGCAAGTCAGTGTCTTGCTCCATATCTTATGAAAATTTATAATTGATCACACATATGAGCGAAATGCGGGGAACAAAAGAAAACAAATAAGAAAACTGACCAGCAGACACCAACTCAGCTGGAAGAACAAAATGTAGGGAGTGATCAAGTGAAACAGAAGCAAAACTGATGCTGTGAACCCACTGAAACAATCCTCTTGGAGTACCAGATATGGTTTGCCCACCCATTATCTGCTTTCTTCCAGCAGATTGCCCAATACTGCCTTTCACAAAGGTGGATGGTTTTGAATGAGAGCTGTAGAGTGTGCTAGTTGATGAGGCTCTCTCTTGAATCAGACTCAGATCCTGCTGTTGCAAGGAAGATCCGTTGCTGTTGGTGGCTATGCCAGAAGGCGCAGAACGTCGCAGTTGAATAGGCCACTTTTTAATCTCAGGACCTCCAGCTGAGTAAATAGCCTTTTGCCACTCTGTTATATCAGTCGCAAGCAGACAACAATAGCAGGGTTATGTACCATGCAATACTAGAGAATTATATTCCCAAGCGCAATTGAATAAGAGCGAGATGAAATATCAGATTAAGAACAGAATCTAAGGGTAAAATAAGCTAATTTACCTTGGTATTCAAGCTCGAAGAAATTCCCAATGCGTGTAATGACAAAATCCCTGGGTTTGAAAGATCCATTGTCAGGGGAGGAACACGCCTGTAGTATTTGACATCCCTGCTGCAGAACTTGAACAAAAAGACACTGCAGCCCTTTTGTATCCTGTCTACTGCTAATTCCACCAAAGGGAAAGATATGTGTGTCAAGCAATTCACCCCTGGCATCCGTCCAGATGCTTACAAGCCATCTCCAGTCCTCTGTCCAACCGTAGCAGCAATGTAAACTTGGAATAGCCTTTCCTTCAAGCTGGGATGCATCCCCCTGGGAGCTTGATCCCGATGTTATACCTTCCATTGAATTCATGCCAGGTCCAGAACCTCTGCCACCATCCTCGGGTATTGGCTTGGAAGACTCAGAACCCAAGCTGCCGAAAGTAGGTGAAACACCACGCTCCACAGAACCAGGCTCGGAAAGAATGAAAAGTGGTTCAAATAAATAGAAAATTTCATCATTAAGGTAAAAATCTCCATTTCTGCTTGGGTCGCAACTTAGTCCTCCAGATCTTGGTATTTGCCAGGAAGTAGAGGTATCCCAACCACTCGTTCTCAAGCTAACATCAATGTCACCATCTCTTGGATGTGTAGAACCTGTCATTCGAGAACCACCGCAGTCTTTCCAGATTCCTGAAATAGAGCTCATCGATGTCAACGCTGAAGAGGATCTGCTTGATAAAGATGATGAGAAAATTGCATCATTAGGCATTCCTCGTGAAATTCTCCGAGCTTTATTGTATACAGAAAAAGCAGTATCCTTGAGAATGACCAGCTCATTAAAGCTTGGACTTGTTATCCGGAAAATAGAATCAACCGACACCACTTGTAGAACTAATTTGGGGACACTAAACCCTGAAAGCACTGGAATGTGAGATATTGATGCTTCGTCAACAGCAGTAGAACTACCAAACGCCCTTGCAACCTGACTGTTGAGTATTGATCTCCTCTCTCTATCTGACTGTATTACTGATCCAAGTGCTATAGACGATTCGACGATCGTCCTTAAAACTGCTGAAGGATCAGGAAATGGACACACTATGTACACTACCTATAAGAAAAGTCGAGTCAACAAGTAACAACAGCTACACTTGGTAGAAGTCATATAAATACTTATCTCACTTAACATATGTATTTTCTAACTCATACTTACCATACAAGGACTTCCTGATCCTTCTTTCTGGTTTGTGTAAAGGGAAGATCCAAGCTTTAGACCTTTCAGCGCTTTTGATAAAGACTTCAGATAGCTATTCACATTCCACCCATTTGACAATGATAGAAAATAATCGCTGAGAGATCCCAGAAGCGATGTGTTATTGCTTTCAATCTTCATTGATTGAGGGCAATCAAGCAGAACAAATCCAGATGAGGATAATCTTCCAGCGTCCGTATCCATTTGATTTCCCAGGCTCTGTGGCAAATGGGTTCCCAGCCTGCACGTTTCATACACTATGCAACAAAAGGTACATTAGAAGAAAATGATGAGACAATATCAGAACTTTGTTCCACTAGAAACATTTTTTAACAGAAACCAGTTCCTATCATGTTTGAGCATAACCTCTTTCACAATAGATAAACTCGTTGACTCACCAGTTCCAAGTTGCTGGAAGAAATCAGCAGCAGCACAAGTTAAAGGATCAATATCCGGGCATACAACAGTATAGTTAATCTGCGAAAGGTAGCAAAGAACAACATCAGTTATCTTAATGAAGAAGATTATCACTAGGCCTAATTTGCAGGAAGACAAAAGCATATCTCTCAAAAAAATATCCTAAAAACTCACACTTTTTGGCAGAGCATATGGCTCAAACGGGGCCTTTTCCCAATGTGGCAAGGAGTTTGTAGATATCTTAAGCCAGTCATCTTGGTACCTGTCACAGGAAAAAGATGCATACATAACGAGAGCTCTAAATCTCCAGCAATACAGCCTGTAATCAAATTCTAAGATATCCTAAAAAGCAAATCATGAATACTTCATGAAATAACCCGACCACAAGGGCATCTTGATCAAGACCAAATTCTTTTTTTAAGGAAGACAGCTAATATAACAGACAGACATCTCTATACATACCCGACAAGTATAGCAGGTGATGGAAGAACAAACAGTGTCGGTCGGAGTAATTCTGAACTGTATATGTCTAGGCTCTGAGCCGTCTCCTCTCCTTTCCCACCATCTATTGCATTTGACACTGCTTGTTTGCCAAGATATTATTAATAATAGCACCATCAGAGATTTTGACACCATTCACTCTAAGATATCAATTAAAACCACAGTGGAAACAGTAGAGTTCAAGGAGATGAAAAGCAAGCGTGAGACTGAGAAATAATCAGAATAAGCGATCTACCTTCACTCAGGGCTGACTCAGCAGTAGATCCCTCAGAAATAGATCCTCCATCCCCCGATTGATTTCGGCCCTTGCACCAATCTGTCACAGATAATGGACCATCTGACTGACCAAATGCAGATTTCAGAGCTGTTTTGATGTCAGATTGCAGTAGAGTAATGACAGACGAAGGGAAAACCTGGAATAAAAAGAAAGCTCCATAATCAAGTTTAAACTGACAGAATGTATCATTGTGTATAACCTACAGTCGACCAGAAAAGAAAAGACGTAGTAGCAAGAGAAATATCAACAAGTTCAAACATTTTTTTTTTTTTTTTGGTCAAAGCTCAAACTTTTATACGGCAAATCTGTGACCACTTAATATTTCTAGCCCAAACTAACAATTAAGAATGTCAAAGACATTGGATAGCCTCATTTCCATGCATCTGACACCATTTTCAAAGCTTACCTCAGTAGAGAGTGGATCAACTAGCTTGACACCAGCAATGTCCAGAGAATGGCAGGAAGCCAAAGTTCCCCCACAACCTGCATGGCCAGCAGAGGGTCCACACGACAATTCCCGTCTCCATAACTCTTCCAATGCAAGCCAGCCATAAGGTCCATCTCCACAATCTGAATCCAGAGCTAAATCAACAAAAGAGGTAGCTTGCTGTACAAGTAGCGATATTCCATCTAGGAGCTCATGCAGAGGTTGCCTTTGACCATAAGAAAGTAAGCTGTCTTCGCTAAATGAACTATGGGGCAAGGATGACCCTGCTTCAATATTTGGCGAACTAGCAGGTTTTGCTGTTTTTGGGACTGAAACAGTCCGCCATACACCAACTGGTGCACTCATGTGGCTATCCAACATTCCTCCGTCAAAATCTCCAGCTATTCTGGTAGGTATATCTTTCTTATATATCTCGTTCCTTGCAGATATGTTGTCTGTCAGAGTACTAGGCTCATTTGGCAGCTGGTTCAGGAAAAAGTTTCCGCTAAGCCTAGTCAGACTAACAGGTGAACTGTGCTTTGAAGAAGTGTGCCGCATCCTACACATGAAAGCTTGGAACATAACGTTTCCCACGTCTGTTGCCAGCAAGGTCTTCGAAGATAATAAGGTTCTAACAACAGCAGATATACCATCAGTCTTTTTCCCCTGCACGACCTTAACAGCATTCGCAGCACTATGTTTTGAGTGTTTTGAATGAGAGACACCCTCCTTTGTACTATTGTTGTCACTGATAACAGTAGGTAGCTTATCATGTTGGTCCTTTCTACCCTCTACTTGAGTGTAATGCTCCCTCGAATGAAACAAAGTTCTGCCATCATTGTTACCAATGCATGATTTTGATCCAAACAAAATCTTATTGCCCGCTCCATCAGAATCAGTGGTAGGTGGTGTGGCTCCATAAACATAATTACTCGTTCTTGAATTTGAACTCTCCACTTTATGAGATTTGGGAAGATATGGGCTTTTGAAATACGTCGAGGAAATCTCGCTCATAGGTGCTTCTACAGCTCCATACTCAGGAGCGAAGGTCATCATCGCCTCTGCTTTCATTAAATGATCGAACTCACTAGTGGAAGAGATCGACATTTGATATGAAGGAACTGAAGTGATACTGCTGTTGAGAACTTCTTGACTTTTAATAAGGCACTCATCAATGATAGGGGGAACAGGATTAAAGCTCTCAAAAGAGGAAAACCCGACAGGCAAAACGATTTGGTCTGATACATCCATCATATCCACTGGACTGGAACCTACATCAGCAGAATCTGGAGGGAAAATGAGCGCATGCGACTCTGCAGTTCCCGGTGGCTACACAAACATAATACATAAGGTGTTATATTATATAAGAATTGACACCAAAGGCAATATGACCGAAACACAATAAGAGGCATGGCAGGAATGGGGAAAGGGAAGCAGACGACCCTTCCTCCCAAACATCTCTGAGAAACAGTCTAGATATCTGAGCTTATGCAGGACCTACATATCAATCACCAGTATATGGAATGCAGATAAAAGTTTCTTGATTAATATTATGATAGGTAACATCCAGAAGACGAGAATTACCTCCCCGAAAGGCAAAGCATCGTTCTCAAAGAAGTCACCAAAGTCTCCAAACTCTGAAAGAAGGGCCTTTATATCCATGCCAACTTCTCTGTCATCATCATCATCGTCAGCATCCCAATCCCAACCAACTTGATCATTTTCAATGCCTGGAACACCAGCTTATTAGTTTTAGTGGAAACGAATCCTGACTTGTATGCTTCTTGAATAGGTGCATCAGTGACAGTACCTACTTGACCGAATGACTCTGCCATCCCTGTTCGCGGTCGCTTGGAACCCTGCAAAGAATGTTAAGTTACTTATATGATGTTGATTTATTGTATTGAGCATGTTAGTGCTACAATCGACAATTCAGTTTCCTCATCAGTATCATGCAAACTCCACCCTTTCCATAGATAAAAGTCATACCATTTTTGGGCGATCATCATTAGAAGTAAGACCAGATTGCCTACACGTCAAAGAATCTGCATCAGCGTCAAGGTCACCAGTTCTTGACGTCATCCTCCAGCCACTCCCGCTGGAAGCGCTACTTGTTGAACTAATGCTGCTATTACGGCTACTACCACTGCTATTGTAATCATTCTTTTCATAAAACCCATCACTCTTATTTTCAGACGCTCCAAGGAAGTCAAAATCACCAGCCCTGCATAAAATCAAGTTCACATATTCAGGGATCATGGACAGTTACGCATATAATTGAAACAAAACTCGGAAATGCCACAGCTCTCACTCCTACGGAGCTTCAAATAATGAAGATTACAAAACATTCGGTTTCTCAGAACAGTTAGGGCATTTCCAGACCACTGTTTTGTGGATTTCTTTTGAGGTTTAAATGTAGACGAGATAGAAGAAAAAGACTCACCAGTGCATAAATAACGATGAGCCTGCTAGTGACGGGCCTATCCAGTTTTGAAGCCAAAATCTGCAAGTATGATTTCACCTTGCATCAGCTCCAAGCTGAGGAAAGATCATAAGTATTACATCTTTTTAACATGGGTCTGAGACAATTCCTAATAACCCTTTCACTATGATCACACAGTCAATTTTTCTTAATACATACATGAAATTCAACAGAAACTAAATTAATTTCAGTATAGCCAATCTGGATCTTACCATTAAGTACTCAATGAATTCTAAATAACCTCCTCACCAAGTCAATTTACCTTTTCAAAGAAAATTTAGCAAATGCCGACTGTAAGATTGGCACAAGCACTGCCTCAGCTGGATAAATGAACTTTTTTTCACAAACTGATAAAAGATCTGGTTGTCCTTTACGGTGATCTTTACTCCCAACTGAAGGTTCAGGACACTGATTATGGGGCAAGTTAACTGCAAAGTTCGAATTAGCTTGACTTGTGTTGTCATTTTTATTGTCATTTTTATTTTGGCAGCAACCAAGTGTAACTTCCACGTAGCAATGATTGCCGTTTATCAGACGGGACCCACGACCAACATATCCACTCGAAGTCCTTAAGTTTCCAGAACTGTGTGAGAAAAAAATATTAGTTGAGAAATTGGATTCATCAGATTAACGGCTATGCACTTCACAAAAATGTTGACTTGGACATTGGAAAGCAAAGGTATGAATTGTACCTGAAGTAGACTTGCTTGACAAAGTCATTGGGACAGAATCCAGTGAGGCTGCCCCGCATTCCATGAGGAGAAACAATCACTGGTGGGAATAACATAAGCCTGTGAGAAGTGTTTCTATCAAATAAAAAGCTCTCATCTTTCAAGAAGCATGTGTAGAAGGCGGATATCATTTCAGGTATCAATTCAAGAAGTTTGGCTTTATAGAATTACATGTAGCATAATCTATTATCCCCACTCTTGGCCAACCCCAAACATTACAGAAAAGCTCTTGTGACATGCAAAAGAATGAGATGCTAAGTCTTTGCTCGATGAAATTAGGTAAAAGTAGCAGTAGACTACACTAGCTTTTTTTGGAGTGGATGCATTGAAAATTGAGTTCAAAGTCTCATGCTCTCAATCTATACAGTATTACAACAGTACACAGCAGGAAGAGGTCAACTAACATCTAGAACTAGTTCCATCAAAATCGTAGACAAGTAGGAGAATATATCATTCCAAATGATGATGGAAACATGACTAACCTGGAAGCCTATAACTGGAGTTTTTCAAAGAACTCCTTAACATTCTTTCAGCATCGCCACTTGAAAGTGTGCGGACATTCCTTTGTGCATAAAAAAGTACAGTTAGTTTCTATGTGAAGCACTAAACCATAACTTGGAACATGTATAACAAAAAGCTTTACAGACTTGGCAGATATAATGACATGGACAAAAACTGCCTCTTCGGTAGCAGCAAAGATGAATTCAACAGTAGGCTGTCCCCTCCTGCATAAATATCCACATAGCATTAGCCAGGAGATGAGCCACAGACCTAATCATAGACTTCTTTCGATTTTAACAATTACACGCAGGAAACTAAGGTCTCACAGACCCATATTTAATGAAAGCTATGTGATGAGATATAATCGAAAAGCCAGAGAGAAAAAAAGAAGAAGATATATTAGCTAAAAGGTAACAGGTAAATAAACAAACTCAGCGATTATAACACATGGTCTAGCTTAGATGGTAAGAGGTTGCAGATACCTCAAATATTCTTCGCTTTGAGGGCTGAATTTTGAAAACACATCTCCAAATCTCATGTAGGAAAGTCCAGATAATGCTCTGTCGCAATATCAAACAAGTTAATATGATACTCTAATCCATTATGTCTGAAGATAATAAAAATCTAACCTTTCAATGCAATTACGTAAAGACTGTGAAAAGGCAACTGATATCTCTTCAGAGTCCCCAGGTGCTACCCAAATTCCTGACGCAACAACTTTCAATAGGAGAAAAAAGAAAAGTAAGGACATGTATACCAAGATAAGCATAGACAACAGGCATGTTCACTAAACAGTCATAATCAGTATAGAGACAATATGTTTGAATATATTGAGGCGAAAAAAGATGAATAAATCATAAGGAAAATATACCTCTAAGCTTTGACACAGCAGCCTGAGCTTTATCAGTGATTGATGAATGACGCCCAGGTAGAAAAAGCCAAAGCTTAATCTTTTCATCTGAGCAGCAACAAGGAATGATTTTCAGATACAACTATAAAGTTACAAAATTTAAGTACCAGATTGCGATTTAGTATTACCAGGGTTATATAAACCTTGAGATGGATCCCAAGGTCCAACAAAAGAATTGGTCCAAGTGGTAAGAAACCCTTCCTTCTGCAACCGTAGATGAGAGGAAAGCACAAGATATGTTGCAACATCATTCTGCTCAGCTCTTGAACTGAACAAAAACTCCAGAGTGACCAGACTAATTAGTACACTTTCATTAAGTAAACACTAAAACTACCCATTGAAAAAGCTTAAAGCTTTAACCTTCTATCAGAACCAGGATTCAGCTCAGTTTCACTCGGAAGTAACTGAAACCAAGAAACATTATGTAGACCACCCTGTAAAATCATGTATTACGAATTAGTCAATTCTCAAAACCAATTCTCACTCACACATTAGGAAAAAAAAAGATGATAGAAGAAGACTTACAATTCTGAAAACATTAGTCCACATAACTTGGGGATAGATACAACAAGTTCAATCCTTTTTTTCTACAAATTATCCCAAAATCATCGTCTTGAAGCGTTCGGGATTGGAAGACGTTGTCAATTTCTAGCTCGATCTTCTCTCCTTTGATGTTGTTGCGAGGTTTCTTTTGATCAAAAATCTTCAATACATAGAAAAATTCATCTCAACACGAAATCTCTCGTGGTTTCATAAAACCAGATCCAAACGCGCTCTTTAGTTAGGGTTCTTTTTTTTTTTCCGCTCTTACTAATTCTTTTTTTGTCTGGCCCAATTAGTCAGGCCCAAATCATTATTTTTCACTTCAAAAAAAATTTCTCCTACCATAAAAGTGTTTTTGAATTTTCCATGATATCAAGTAATGTTGGTAAGATCTTATTCTTTCGAGTTCCCATGACTTGCATCAATCAAATGAACCAACCAACCAATGCTATATTTCCTAGATTTTGTATATCACGTACGATATAGCTACACCGCCAACAATGTCTTTAGGTTCCATAGATTTTTGAAGAAATATGTATTTGTTTGTCTCGAGCCTTATGGGATGTATCGTTCGAAATATTTTACATATTTAAACAAAAACAATTGTTTCAGGTTGATTAAGATTATGATATGAAAATTTTGATTTAACAAAGTGTTTAGTTATGTAAACGTGAATTAGGCTCTTGTAGATTTGATTTAATCAATTCTTTATTAGTTTATTATTTGGCTCGAGCAATACTCAATCATGTGTAGATCAACAACTTCTCAGCAGATTTTTATTTTTATTTAAACAATGACGACACTTACTAATTGATTTCATTATAATTAAACTTAAAGATCAAGGCTTTAATTATTTATATTCGACTCCGAAATGATACTAGTTCTTGCTTCATCTGATCTCTCAAGACTCTTCTCAGTAACTTGTTAGAAGCTGTTCTTGGAAACTCTGGCACAATCTTCACAAAACTCACCTGCAAGTTTTTTGCAAAATCCATTTTTTAAGCAGACAAAAACTCTTTTCGCGCGTAACTTTGAATTTTTTGCGAAAAAGATATTAATTACCTTGAAGAGAGGATTAAGATCTTTTTGAATGGTTCTTGAAAATTTCATCTTTAGCTCTTCCTCACTCTGTTTCTTGAACCCTTCTTTCAAGACGGCGAATATGACCAGCAACTCTGGACCACCGTTAGGTGGTGTTAAGCTGACTGCAGCTGTCTCAGAGATGCACTCATCAGCTTGATCACACACCCATTCAATCTCAATAGAACTCGTCTGCGTTATAACAGAGATACAAGAGATGAAAACTTATAAAACACTCGAAGCTGTGTTGAAATACATACAGTACAGTGTAATACCTTAATGCCTCCAAGGTTCATGGTATCATCAGCTCTGCCTTGAACATTGTAATATCCTCCTATGGTTCGCTTCACGATGTCACCGTGTCTTCTAAGTCTCTGCAGAACGGAACGGAACAGAACAGAGGAACAAATTAAGTGATCTCGGTGTGCAAATATGGTTTAACTTTGAACATCTGTCTTACTACTCACTGTGTCCTTGTACATTGGCATTCCCTTGAAGTAAACCTCGTCGTGGTTTGCGTTCAGAAGTCTATCCGTGGCCCCAAGGTGCTGGGGGAGCAAACCGACTTCTCCAGTACATGGTTGATCATCCGGCTGCAAAAAACCAGTCTTAATCAATCTCTGGATATTCTTAGATAACACCCCAAATGTCTAAAGTTTCAGTTTATCACATATGGGACGCCATTTTCATCGAAAATGATGATTCTAGTTGTCATGGATGGTGTGCTAAACGCTCCAAAAGCCTGCGGTTGAAGCGGGCTTCCTATGATGTATGAAGAAGCGAGTTCCGTGCCTCCACAGCATTCGATCACAGGTTTGTAATAAGCTTTAGAAGAAAGCCAGAGAACATCATCAACATTGGAAGCTTCTCCTGTAGTGGCGAAATACCTAACAAAGCACAACACCTTCTAAGTTAAATTTTCTCGTATAAGCCCAAAAAACCGAGGTTTGTTGCTCCTTACTTAATCTTTGTCCAATTAAGCCCTTCCATACAGTTTGTCCTCTTCCAAGTTTTCACCAAGCTCGGAACAGTACCAAGAACCATAACTCCAGCATCCTGGAGTAATATCAAGCACAAATAAGTGCGGCTTTATCTAATATTACCACGATTGAAAAGGAGGTAACAATGGAGATTTCTGTCTTGCCTGAACAAACTTTCCAAAACCGCGTCCAAGAGGAGACCCTTGATAGAGAGCAAGTGTTGCACCGGTTAGAAAGCAGGAGAATATAAGAGTTGGTCCCATTACCCATCCAAGATTTGTAGGCCAACAATATGTGTTACCCACTTGGACATCAAGATGAGCCCATCCATCACAAGCACTACGAATTGGCGAGAGCTGTGTCCACGGTATAGCTTTCGGTTCACCTGTTTAAGAAAAAATAACTAATTAATAGATGCATCTAAACAAATCTATTACAATTTGATCACATTATTTGTACCTGTAGTTCCAGATGAGAAGAGAATGTTAATCACAGAGGCTACAGGTAGATGAATCGGACGATAATAGTTCTCTCCACTGCAAGCCAAATTGGAGCATGTCTCATCTACACTCTTCGAGTGATTGAAAATGTAGAGATGTAAACAATTTACCTAAGATGGGTTTTCGCATTGGAAAGAAAGTCCATCCATGATATATCCTGTTCTCTTAACTGAACACGCAATTTACCTGAAGCTGGGAGGACAATGACCTTAGATGGAGCAGCTTCAACCACCCGACTAGAGGAAAGAAAGATAAGTTTAGATATATTTATGTTGTTGGTTCATTAAGTTGCAAAAACAGCCACAGCAAGACCAATTTTGTCACCTGTATAAAGGAAATCTTCGACCTCCTCTGAGTATGTAATCCTGAAAACGCAATAAGAGATATCTGACATTGTACGGGATAGATACAAGGCGAAAAGATGTGAGTCAGGCTGTTGATAAGGTTCGTCAGTGCACAAACCTGAGTGAATATGCCTTTTGCTTTAGAAATTTTCAACCGTGTTGCAATTTCTTTAGCTGCAAAGCTGTCTGCGATGGAGACAACAATGCAACCGGCCAATATGATTGCGAAATATATAATCACTGCATCAACTGTCATTGGCATATCGATTGCAATCGTGTCACCCTTCTCAAAACTTCCACCTATCGCATTTGCCACCAACCTTTTCAAGTAAATGTATCAAAACCACCATTGATAGCTTTAAAATGAGATCACACAACAGAATGATTGATAAGAGACTTTCATGTGACATACATTACTTGTTCGCGGAGTTGTTTTAATGTCATTTGATTGACTGGAGAATCATCAAAGCCTTCATTACGCCATACAACAGCCATACTATCATCCTCCTTTTTGAGATGACTTGAAGGCATCAGACAACACTCAGCGATATTAAGAACAGCATCAGGGAGCCAAGTCCCTCCAGGTTTTGATTTGTCAAGGATACACCTCGGAGGAGTATGAAACACAAGTGAAAGCTCATCGATAACAATTGACCAATAAACCTGACAATGATATTAAATTAGACCAAACCAGAGCTGCCGCAAAGATTCTTTTTTTCAACGTTCAACGTCAATGCTTACTTCAGGGTGTTCAACTGAGAATCTCCGGAAAAGTTCAAAACTTTCAAGAGGGTTCTTGTATGTAGGACCAAGAAGTCTTGACCCGTGAGTTTCCATCAGCTTCCCCAAATTTGTTGATTTTGACTGAGATCTAAACACACACAAAGAAGAAAAAAGACAAGACACTAAGGATTTCAGACAATCAGCTGTATCTTACAGATATATTTCAGAATTTTGAACAAGTTCATGACACGTACGGAGAAGGAAACCAATAGAGAGGAGGGCCAAGAGCAGATGAGTCCCAGTTTGAGTAGACAGAGTAGTAGAGAAGCTGATGCAGGGGATGAGGATGCCATGGCTTAAGCGAACTCTCATCCACCAAAGCCTTCCATTGATCTCTTGGATCAGTCTCTATAGCCGTTGAAATCACATCCCTCACCAATTTGTCAAATCCCTTAGCGTCTTCCAAAGTCAATCCAGCTTTGACATAGTCATCGCAACTCAATTCTCCTATGCTCTTCCACATCTCTCTCTATACATATGCAAGTTATCGTCTTTGTGATGCTTTAAAGTTTAAAGCCTGTCAATGGTGGTAGACTGGTAGGTAGATTATGTGGACAAGAAAATTCTCATCTTTTGTTTTGTTTTGCTATAAAACAGTAAAGGTTTAACTCCTCAGTAAACATCGGACCATACTCTTTGGCTCTGCTGAGTTCTTGATTCATCAAAGAAACCAATTTTACCCATCTTGGCTGCAAGAATTGAAAATTGTTAAATTCTACTAAAGCTCCAAATTCTTGATTCCACTAGCATAAGAACTCAAGATTCTGACTCAAGCCAACAAATTCTTCTAGGTCTAGAGAACGAGGATATTTAATCAGAAGGACCATTAAGGTTAGCAATCCAATGGTAGATATTACCGAAAAGATGGCTTCAATGCACCATATCCAAAACGTGGCTTATTGATGAGATCGATGGATCTCTTAAAAATATTGCTTTGGCTGACATGACGGAAACAATAAACTAGAGCTGTTATACTTGTAACTTGCAAGTAATCTAAAAAGCTTCCTCTTTTCCTGAGCAACGTTGCAACTTTTATAATAACCTGAGATTATATCTTAAAGAACTCAATAGTCAATACTAACAGTACCATGCTCCACTCCATAGACCAAAACATAAAAAGCCAAATTCCACCCTACATAAAATTTCTCATCCTTTTAGTTCTAAACTTTGTCTTAGGATAAGGGTACACCACACAACCATAATCTAGACAAGACTAGCAAATCACTGGCTTGGCGAGCGGTCTTCTTCATACTGCCCCCCATGCGGGCTCTGGCTCCTGCTTCTGGCGGGTTCAGGAGTGTAGCTTCTGCTTCTCCTCGGGCTCCTGCTTCTTCTAGGGCTACGGCTTATGCTTCTTCTCGGGCTAAGACTCCTATTTCTCTTCAGGCTCGGGCTCCTGCTTCTTCTTGGGCTACGGCTTATGCTTCTTTTAGGGCTGGGACTTAAGTTGCGGCTATTACCTCTGGCCGGAGTTAAACTGCGACCCCTTGAGCCATTAGAGGCAGGTGAGCGCGAGTATGACCTCCTCCCATCATATCGCTCTTCCCTGGGTGAGATAGACCTGTGACAATAGACAGTTAGTGAGCATACAAGCCTCAATCGGGTGGAGAAATTTGTAATTGAGCTCAGACAGAAACATTTAGAAACCTTGGGTGATGTCTTCTAGGGGGAGGAGAATAATAGTCACCGCTCCGTGACCGAGATCTATCACGTCGACGGGGAGGAGAACGAGAGCGAGAGTAGTAACGAGGAGGAGTACGCCTTCTATCCCGAAATCTGCTGCTCCTACGAACAAAAAAAGATGTTAAATATTGAATTTTTGATATTTGACGATAAACAAAAAAGTTCAAAAAGAGAAAGCTCCATGCACCTTCCTCCACCACGCTCCCTTGCTCTCATTTCGGTCGGTTTCTTCCTGTTCTCTTCTGCAAACACGACAGTCAACTCACGGCCAAGAAGAAGATAACCATCCATGTGATGTTTTGCGTCAGCAGCATCAGCAGGGTCCATAAATTGAACAAAACCAAACCCTCGCGGATCTCTGCATTTAAAATGTAGAACAAAACAGGTCTCAGACTAGAAACCAAACATACAAAATGACGAGGAAGATGTACCACTTTACAACAATCCTGTTGAAGGACAACTGGCTATATGATCCCCTGCAACAGAAGACATCAGTAAACATGAAAAAAGCAAGCACTTGCCTGCTAGCCTTGCAAGTTTCAGTATAAAGATGACTTCTTGAAGACTTGATTCATCTTCAAATTGAATACAAACTCAACTTCACTTCAATTCTTCACTACCATATACAACATCTTCATAAGATCTCTAATTACTTCTTTGAAGTCTTCAATTCTTTAGATTCACTGCTAAACCTCAACAACTTCAATTAACTCACTCATAGTGTGTTCAGACATGGAACATATCATCATTGTATCCTTCTCCTTAAGGGACTAAAATGTATGAGGTCTCAACAGGTACTAAATTCAAAACGACTAATCCACCTTCTTTCTTTCTTTGAAAGACACTAAAAACTAGTGGTTTAAGACCACAAGTGATGGTTCATATCACAGAAAATTATGAAAAAAATATGGAGCCTAAATTTGATTTATGAAACCAGCGCATTTAAGAAGATTCTAATAAGGCCCTAGTATCATGAGGAGACACACAGAGATGAAAGAAAGAAAAAGGAAAGGGGGATAAACGTAGTAAACAAAGATTCAAGAAAGAAGATGAAAAAATAGAGATATTCTCTAATCAGAACATAAGTAAAAATCAAGTGTTAAATGTTCTATTTACAAAACATGCTCACCCGGTATAATAATCCCTTGGTAGGTATATGTCCTTGACCGGGCCAAACTGCTCAAATGACTTCCTGAGATCTTCTTGCCTGAAGAAAAGGATAAGAGGTAAGAAGAGAATTACAATTTGCTAAAAGCCAGGAAATGAAGATAGATTGGCGTCAATGTCAACTACGAAGTACTATGGTTTACATGAACCCCAAACATGTAGGAATTTACATCATTATCAAGATAGGTCTGAGGACATATATCAACATTCGAAAGCCTTCACAGTACAAATATGAGAACATGATGCCTAAATGTGCTAAGAGGTGTCATGTCTTGAAGCTTAAGAGGTGTGCAAACACTAATATCATCCTAAACGGGAAGACAATGGCTGAAGGAAATTATTGAGAAGTCAAAGTACGTACCTGCAATCATGGCGTAGATTGCGAACCAAAAGACTGGTTGGGAGGTCCCTGCTACGACCTCCATAGCGGCCTCTAGGGCTTGGGCTTCGACCCCTCCTCCCATAACCCCTTGGTGGTGACGGAGTGTAGCTCCTTCCCCTCATTGAGCCAAGCTTCAACCTCTCTATATATCAGTCAGTCAACACAAACTAGATTAGAAAACACACAAGAAAAGGTTGGATATTTAAGAAAGAAGAGACCACAGACACAACAAAAGCTATAACACCAGCGTCTAAGAGAACTTCAAAGAAGCATTCAATCTAGAAAGATCATATTTTTCGAATTGAAAAAAACTAAATTATATCAAAACAAGATCGCATACAATTCAGATAGAGATCGAATATGCTCAGTTTCAAATTTGATTTCAAATAGGAGCAAAGAAACGTGATATGTGAATAGGCACAAAAGATCACAACTTTATTTCAATCCTACAAGAAAACCGACCAAAGTGCCGACTTTATTTCAATCTACAGCGTTTCCGTCACGGAATCTTTCACCGGACTCAAAAATCAACGGGCAACGAAGCCGTGTACAATTGAAGGAATCGAAGTCGGATACAAAGACGAAGATAGGAGTATATACGATTAGGAAGAAGAGTAAAATATCAGGGAAAAGACTTACCGGTGAACGAATTCGGTGGTGATAAACGTCGGAGAAGCGATGCTGCAAGAATTGGAGAAGATGGAAGTAAGCAATGAACGACCACTCTTATTTATTATTAGGGTTCCTTTATATTATTTACTTTTTACATTTAACACCTCAAATTCTTTCAAAGTATTATTTCCGCCTTAAAAGTTTTCCAATATTAGTTAGATGGTCCATTCCAATTTCTGGTAATTAAATTATCTTCCTTTTGGTTGTTATTCTACTCGGTGAAGATCAAAATGGTCATATATCTAAGAGTTAAAAATTTAAAAATCAATTGGTGATTTTTCACCAACAACTGGGTGCTGTTTGTACCTTTTATAACTATTTTGGTCAAAATATAAATATTGAAACCTATCGGGAGAGAAATAAAAATAATAAATAACAAAAAAGGATTCTTCTAGAAGGTTATTATATCATTATCTTTCTCTCTCTCTCTCTTCTAAACTTGTAAAATTTCTTACATTACATAACAAAGCATTCGTGTTTCATCAGTTCGATAGATTCTCGTCTCGTCTCTTTTCGACTTACGACAATCTGCATAATCCAATTTGCGAAGATCAGGAAGAATTCAAGTCAAGCCGGTGATATCTTTAATGGAAGAACAGTTCATACTTAGGGTTCCACCGTCTGTTTCAGAACGAATTGATCGGCTTTTGAGCGACGAGGCTTCTACTTCCGACGAAATCCCTTTGGATTTGTGTTTCTCAGGTAACCAATTTTAAAGGGTTTCTCTTTTTGCACATTATAGAGGGTTAATCCCCCAAAGTTTCTTCCTTTTTCTTAAATTTTTGTCCTTTACTCGGGAATTATCCTTTTGCAATCAATGATATTTGGCTATAAATTGTTTCTAGGTTTGAGATTTTGATTCTCAGTACTGAAAGTTTGGTTCTTGAATGATGTTTTGCCTGAAATACATTCTTGAATCTGATTAAGGACTAAAGTTTGTGTTTTGCATTGTCTCCGGGAGCAACTTAAAATTGTGAATTGTATGTTTTGTCAGAGAAGCCAAAAACATTCTTGTTGCATTTCTTGAATAAAGTTTGTCTAGAAATCCATTTGCATTGTCTCTGGAGCAAACTTGATATTTAATGTTTGTGTGAATTGAATTTGCAGAGGACGGGAGAAACGGGACGTTTATGATTGGAAACGACGAGTTCCCGGCTTCTCTGCTTGATCTTCCTGCAGTTGTTGAGTCTTGGAAAACTTATGATGATTGTGCATTAGTCAAAACTGCTGATATTGGGCAGGTAAAATCAATTTACTTGATCCATATTTTGCTTATTATATGCGTTAAGCTCTGTAAATTTTGACTAAAAAGTAATATAAATGTTTTGATTTGTTACACAGATGATTATGGTTAGGGAGCCGGGTGATCCCGCGCCTAATACAGTTGAATACAGACATGGTTTAACTCCTCCAATGAAGGATGCTCGAAAGAGAAGATTTCGTCGAGAGCCTGACCTTAATGTAATTTTCATTTGTTACTATCAATCCATCAAGATGGTTTCACTAATACTTGTGATTATGATGAGCCAGGAAAAAATAAAGAATGGGGGAAACTTCTGGTTATCAAAGATTGAAAGTTCTGATTGAATCTTGATACATGTAGCTGTTTGTGATGAAACTTTATATTTTGGAACTCCCAAGTTCTTTCTATTAACATATTGATTGCCAAAATGTTGCAGCCGGAGCTTGTACAGCGGGTTGAGAGAGACTTGTTGAATATCTTGAGTGGCGGAACGGTAGAAAATGTAAGATTACTTCAACTCTAACACATGATGTGTCTATATTTGCTCTTCGGATTTAGTAACTTCATTTATTTGAACTTTTTTTTGTGTAGGTAAATGAGCAAGAGGAAGCAGCCGCGAATGAGAATGCTAGTAATGAAAATAAGAAAGTCTCGTCTTCACCTACACCTGCTGAAAAGCCTGAAGCTCCTGAGACAGGCACTAGTAATCCAGCAGGAGTTGAGCCAGAGAGAAGTGAATCAGAAGATTCTGATGATTCAATGTGAGTTTATTACATAAAGAGATTTTTCTTACAGAAACTTAAGAGTTTGAGCAAGTCCTGTCTTAGAAAATCATGGATAATTATGTCTCCATGGTTTGATGATGTCTTCTTCAACCTTTTTCAATGGAAAAGTTGTTGTGTTCAAAGTACTGATAAAAGAAAAACCTAGACTTAAAGAACAAGAACAATACACTGTTGATGGTAAACCTATCAAAAGCTGGAATCTCAATCATCATCGGCCGTCGCCTTCATTAAAAAGTTTTGCTTCCTCCTTAAGAAAACATCCTTTAATGTAACACTCGCTACCCAATTCTTAACCTGAGATCATGTCACCGACTTCGTTGTGCACAAAGTTAAAAGGCATTAAAGGTTCCCGACCAATATATTCAGCCATTCGAAGAGAGACTGATAAACTTTTCAAGTAAACAATGAGACAGACGAATCCATACCCGTGATCAGAAATGTCGAATTCAGATGAGGAGTGTCTCGGAGGCCGTATGTGATGCTGCAGAAGAATGGGGTTTCTTTCAATGGAAGTTCTTGAAAACATGAAATCAGCTACTCACACTTTGGTGTAATTAAGCTTTAAAAGTTTTTGGTTTCTTTCAATGATTTCGGTTTCTCCGTTATATATAGGCTTTACAAGATTTACGAGTTCGGTTTGGTTCAAATGCGGAGGCCGGAGGTAGTAAGTAGTATCTGTATCTCTACATTCAAAGAGACTCTCTCTGGGTCAGAAGTTTTGTTTCACATTGACATCACTATGCAATGGAATGCCCCTTTTAAGGTTCTCTGCATTCTCTTCTTCTTTGTGCCGTGTGGCATTTCTCTTGTTGCAACAGCAATGGCGACTGAATCAATTTGTCTCAAGCCCGTATCTTTCGCAAGGTTGACGAAAAACCCATCAAATCAATTTCGTAAAAGAAGAAAACTTTCCTCTCGAATTCATCGTTTTCGATTCGGTGTAATTTGCTCCAAGTCATCTGATTATCAAGGTAACGCCCAATTCTAATTCTTCATCGACTCTGTTGTAAAATTTCCCCCGTGATCAAATTCAAAACTTTCAATTCTTCTGCTGCTCTCTCAATTGGGTTGTGATGGGTTTGAATGATCATTGGAGTTTATGTCAAATCCACTAATTAGAATGTTCAAGATGTTACCTTTGGGTTCTGTTTTCAGATTTCCAGAGTTATGCAACACCTTTGCGTTTGTTATCAGCAGAAGAAGTGAAAGTTTGTAGAGGGAATCCATCTTTCACTGTGAGCGAAACTCGATCTCTTTATAAGGTTAAGCTAGAGACAAGTAATTTGTTTGGTTCAGGGATTAGTGATATGAATGCTAGAGTTCTTATATGCTTGATAGACGCAAAGGGCGATTCGGTATTACAGACAATACCTGCGAATTTGTCATCTTTGGATCCAGAGGTTGTGGAAAATGGTGAAAGTTTCAGGTTTCAGAGAGGCTCTGTTGATGAATTCACATTTGAAGGACCGAAACTCGACAAAATCAGAGCTTTTTGGATTGGTCTTGAGTCTGGTTAGTTTCTTTTGACATAGAACTTGTTTTAGTACATAAATTTTGTGATTATAGAGACTTAGCTTTTCATATTTAGGTCAATGGAGAATTGGAAGAGTGAGCTTGCGGGTGGTTAATCCTCGCGGTGAAGGACTTTCTCTTGGAGAAACCGATGCAGAAACTTTCTGTTACCGATATGATTTTGAAGTTGATGAAATCTTGCTTGGAGAGAGCAGTTACCTATCAATGGTGGAACTCAGACCTACCCGTATTACTGAACTCGCCGACTCCGATCAAATCTCTTCGTTTACAGCTGTGGATCTTGACCGTACAACGGTTTCCAATGAGGAAAGCATGGAAGAATACGCAAACTTGAAACGCTCTCTGCTTCTCTATGATGCGATTCTCACCCTTCTTGGAAGTTTGGTCTTTTCCTTCTCACTTGGTGAAAACTCCGCCATTGCTTTCTTCTTCGGTGGAACAATGGGATTTTTCTACTTGCTGCTCTTACAGAGATCAGTCGATGAATTGCAAGCACCGGGATCTTCTTCATCAGAAAACTCCAATAAAATACTCAGTGGACTCAATATTCCGGTTTGGAGCCTTGCACTGGCCATAGGATTGACTGTTTTAGCCGTGAGAGGTCACATTGGAGGAGATCTCACTGCATTTGCAGTCACACCAAAAGAGATAGTGGTGGGTACTTTGGGGTTTCTCGTATGCAAAGTAGCCGTTGTTTTGGCTGCGTTTAAGCCCTTGAAGGATGGTTCTTAACTCTTACGAGAACCAGTGATCTGTGTTTGTACATGACTTCGTTGTATATAACAACTATGTAAGAAGAATAGAGACATCACATAAAAATAAAATAGATATCAATTTTTATAGATCATATCAATGTACATACATATATCCATTGGGTAGTCCATTGATCATCATTTACTCATTCAAAATCATGTATCAATATTTACTAAATTTATATCTTTTTAGTCATTATGGATTTATTTATATAACTGCAGATTTTGAAGGTTAGTTTGTGTTTCTATCTTGGAATATTTTGTTTTTCATTACATTATAGGTTGGTATAAATTCACCAAAACATAGTTTAATTCTTACACAATTCTATGTATTATCATTGACTTTGACCCAATGTTTTTTTTTAACATTTCTGAAGAATGCATAATATCAAGGACTTATGAAAGTGTATGGCATACCAAATCAATTTGTTTTCTTTAGGGTTTAGTGGGATGTCATTGTCAAAGAATTAATTGGGCAAGCCATGACTATAATTAAAAGTAAAATTAGGGGTAGAAAATTTATCATGGGTAAGGTTTTAATTTCTGAATTTAAGATAGACACTTTTATATCATAACTACTAACTACCATTATGTTTATGAAATTATGGTCAAATTTACTTTTATGCATTTGTATAATAATATTTAAAGTGGTGTTGAAAAATCATCTCTTAAGTCGTAACTCTTGCCTGTTGCCATCATTGGTCCATTGACATGCATATAATTGTGCTTGACACTCATCATCTACCTTTCTATTTTTATGAATATCAAACCTATTGTTACTTCTTTTTTGTTTTTGATTTGGTCAGAATTCTCAAAATAATAGTTAAGTATCTAGAAATAACACACTAATATTGTTTCTACTCTACGTAAGGTTTGGTTGAAAAGGATGAGCTAAATGTGAATAACGATGCCATTTTTGTTAGGTTAACCATACTAATATACTTATATTAGATGTATTGTACTGTGTGACATTTTTTATATCAATGATATATTGTCCGTATGTTTGTGTGTCTGTTTGCATGCACATAATCTATAATCTCAAATATTCTAAACATTTTTTTAATATATACATGTAATGTTAACTCGAAAATTTATATCAAAGATAATATACTATCAAGTTTGAACGATTTTTGTCGATCAAGTAGCATATTAGTCTCTAGTTTACCCAAAGTAAAATCACTAAATTACTGTTGGGATAACTTGTAGTTATTAGCTAAGTATCAATAAAATGTGATCTCTAAGATCTTTATGAACTCGAAAATCTCCTATTTCATGATACCACCAGTGTGAGCTCTTCTTTGAGGACGTTCACTTCGACTGTTTTCTCCCTGTGTCTACTCCGCAGTAATCTATACTTATCAATTCAAAATATATATCAAACAAATACAAATAACAAAAAGAATTGCACAAACAACTATGATTCATCTAAATATTGAATACATAAAACTGTGATTTTTAACTTATGTTTGGCTCTTAATTCGTTGCCGTCTTAAAGAGAAAAGGGAACATTTTGATAAATATCCTTGTACTCCTCAATTATTATTATGGATAGACATATCGTTTTTGTATGTATTCTACTGCTATACATCTAATATTTGAAAATTTTGGTATATGTATTCTAAATATTCCGTGTCCCATTCATTCCATACGACAAAATCGTCCCCTTCTTTTAAAATCGTTTGATGAAGTGGTTGAAAAATTGACGTATAATTAAATGTATTTAAATGAAAATTTAATTAAAAAATTTGGTAGATACTATATAGTCCAAATATACCATTCGTAAGGCATCAATTAGCGTAATCTGTTGTCCAAACAATCTATATTTTAAATAAGACAGATTCCGCCCATTAATTATAAGTACAACGGTTTTAGTTTTTTTTTTTTTTTCTTTTGTCAAAGGATATTCAAACAACGGTTTTAGTTGCTTGTCCATTTTAAAACTTCTTAGAACAATTAAGCATTAAACACACAATTTTGACGTTTAATAGTAGTATGAATTTTCATAATAAAAAGTTGAATGAATGATAGATGTGTGGTTTGAAATACCAAATCTAAAAACTTTAGTTCTCCACTTTTCAACAAAAAGTTAGCGCATATTGACATGGAAATAATCAATGTTTCTTTCCACCGGTAAATTATCATTCTTTTTTTTTTTTTTTTTTTAGAGCTCAAAAGAGCCACTCCACCTGTAAATTATCATTCACAATCTTTAAGTTACATAACTGACTTTATAATTTAACTAAAACCATATATAATCGGAAAATAGATATATTTAGATTAATTTAATGTGTTTTACAAATTAAGATTTATGTTTTTCCAGTTAATCTTCCATATGGTTGACTAAAGAAAAAACAAATCTTACACCTTTTTGACTATTTACTAGCTCCATTAATTTCAAGGTCCATAGTAAAATGAGTATTTTTAATCATTCATTAATAAACACTAGATTCTGTAATTACAAAAAAAAAAAAAAAAACACTAGTATTATTATTAATAACAAAGCTTTTACTTCTGTTTCCCGAGAAGAGAGAGAGAGAGAGAGAGACCTACCAGTCCCATTTTCCGTGTAGAGAGAGCGAAGTGGAAGGTGGTTCACGTTTTCGTCTAATCTCCGACTACACTGAGAGATTGGACCATTTGGTTTCTGGGTTTTTGATCAGATAAAGTTTCAAGTTTGAGAATTCTCGATCTGTTGTTTTTTTTTTCTGTTTCTCTTATGAGCTTCAAGTTTTGAAGATGGATCTATCTTCTCAACGACAATCCCCAAATGGTTCTAGGGGTTTTCGTCTTCAAGCTCCATTGGTAACTTCTTCTTACCTTTTCTTCGTTTCTCGATTCCATTGTTAGGTTTCGCTATCAAAAAAATCGAAGATAATAATAACCCATCACGAGTTTTCTGGGAAATGTTTAGACTTTTGACATGATTTTGCTTTTAATTTCTTCAATTTGTTTCCTTTTTCAGTAACCCTAGCTAAATTCTCCAAATTTGGTAGTTTTTGACTCTTGTTCCGTAACTGTTTCTGACTATTTTTTCTGCCCTAAATTGCAAAAATGCATCTTTGTTTAATTATTGTGGACCTCTCTTTTTGATTTTCTGAGATCGGAATCTTGCAGGTGGATTCTGTTTCTTGCTATTGTAGAGTAGATTCTGGTCTTAAGACTGTTGTAGAAGCAAGGAAGTTTGTTCCTGGTTCAAAGCTTTGTATTCAACCTGATATCAATCCTAATGCTCATAGGCGTAAGAATTCTAAGAGGGAGAGGACGAGGATTCAACCTCCGCTTCTGCCCGGCCTCCCGGACGATCTGGCTGTCGCTTGCCTCATTCGTGTTCCGCGTGCAGAACATAGAAAACTCAGGCTAGTGTGTAAGAGATGGTATAGGCTTGCTTCTGGGAACTTCTTTTACTCTCAGAGGAAGTTACTTGGGATGTCTGAAGAATGGGTTTATGTTTTTAAAAGAGATCGCGACGGGAAGATCTCTTGGAATACGTTTGATCCTATCTCCCAGCTTTGGCAGCCGCTTCCACCTGTTCCAAGGGAATATTCAGAGGCTGTTGGGTTTGGTTGTGCTGTTTTAAGCGGTTGTCATCTTTATTTGTTTGGAGGTAAGGATCCTCTAAGAGGATCAATGAGGAGAGTCATTTTCTACAATGCAAGGACGAATAAGTGGCACAGGGCACCCGATATGCTTAGGAAGCGGCATTTCTTTGGTTGTTGTGTCATAAACAATTGTTTATATGTAGCGGGTGGGGAGTGTGAAGGAATTCAAAGGACACTCCGCTCAGCTGAGGTTTATGATCCAAACAAGAACAGATGGAGTTTTATTGCTGATATGAGCACAGCAATGGTGCCTCTTATTGGTGTGGTTTATGATAAAAAGTGGTTTCTCAAGGGTCTTGGGTCTCACCAACTAGTCATGAGTGAAGCTTATGACCCAGAAGTTAATTCATGGAGCCCGGTTAGTGATGGGATGGTTGCTGGTTGGCGTAATCCATGTACTTCTCTAAACGGTCGTCTTTACGGATTGGATTGTAGGGACGGATGCAAACTCAGGGTATTTGATGAATCCACGGATTCATGGAACAAATTCATGGACAGTAAAGCTCATTTGGGAAGCTCAAAGTCGCTTGAAGCTGCAGCTCTTGTTCCTCTACACAATAAGCTTTGTATAATCCGGAACAACATGAGCATGAGTCTGGTTGATGTCTCGAATCCTGACAAAAACAACCCTCGACTGTGGGAAAACATTGCCGTAAAAGGACAGTCCAAGAGCATTCTCAGTAATATATGGTCGAGTATTGCAGGGAGAGCTTTGAAGAGCCATATTGTGCATTGCCAAGTGCTTCAAGCCTGACAGAAAATTTCTGAAACTCAACAATGGAGTTAAATTGTTCAGAAGAAACCAACCACCTTGAGCTTCCAAGAAGAGGAGGAAAAAGCAAAATCTGGCTCAAGACCTGTTCCAGAGCAATACTAATGAGAATCGTCTTCACAGTGACTATTGACAAGAACTCATGTCCGGTCTTAACAGATCACATGAGAGACGAAGAGAGAGCAAGACAGTGAGGTGGGTTCACCATTTCTTCTGGTGTTAAAATCTGTGTTAGTATTTATAGGAATCTCTTTAATGGTTTTGGCAATTTGTTATAGCGTTTTGTTGACATTTTCTTTTCTGTGATTTGTAAATCTTAAATCTTTCGTCTGATAGATCTTCTGGCAATATAACATAATCTGATTAGGGCAAAATATTTGCATTTTTGAATCCGATTTGAGTGTCCAATTTGAATACACTTCTGAAATACAAAACCAACATAAAAGTAGGAATGAATCGTTTGATTTGAGAATCTTGAAATCGCTTAAGGCGGATTCAAGAATCTTGAAGATTTAGGTTTCTTGAGCAAGAAGGAACATTTTCGAACATGGACACCGGTAAAGTCTTGGATACGAATCCAACGGAGAAGACAACCGTGGCAGAGCTTGGATCAGATTCCATGGCGGTGATTGGTAACCAAAGGAAAGCCTCTTTAGCTTGGATTCCATGGACGTCTATAACAGATCCGTAACTGAGTTTTCCGGCAATATTCTTGCCGTAGAAAACGAGTTGATCGGAGAACTTGACGTAGCAATTAGAAATTAGGTCAACGGTGAAATCGCCGTCGTCGGAGAGAGTGTACGATTTGACGTTATTGGGAAGGAGACCTTTCGGGAATCCGTAGCGTGGGAGAAGATCGTGGATGTCATCGGCGGCGAGAGATGGACGGTCGAGATCGAGACCGATGGATTGAGGGAAGATTGGACGGCGGAGATTTAGGGAGGAGGAGGAGGAGAGAGATAAGAGAGAGAGACAGAAGAGTGTAAGCAAAGAAGCCATTGGTGGCTGACACTTTGAGAGAAAGGAGAGGCGTAATATAACAGAAACGTTGAGGGTAAATTGGGAATTGCAAAAACAATTGTAAGATTTGACTTGCCACGTGTACGACATTCACAGTATTTAATTTCCTTCGATATTGGGCCTGTTGTCGAAACTATTGTTGGCCCGATTAGAAAGACCCAGAAGAACTTTGTATCTAAATTTAGTACTCTTGCTACTAAAAAACTTACTAGAGGGACTTGATATACTAAAAACTTATTCTTTGAGTGTGAATACGCTGATGAGGTTTGGTCTTTTTTTACCTCGTGTGCCATTCGAAGATGGAGTTCCTTTTTAGATTTAAAATTTTGCTCTCATCCTCAAATTAGCATATCAAGCCTCAATTTATCTCGTATGAAAAGAAAGAAACATCAGGATTCATCAAGCTACAAATGACCTACGAACTCCATCATTTTTTGAATCAAGAATTTCATTCGTTGTCGTCTTGACCCGCTTTCGAGGGCACAATGGATTATACCTCCAAATCTCTCTTATCTTTCATCGTGGTTTAATGTCTTCCAACCATAATTCGATTGTTGTATTTTGACTATTTTCAGATATGTGCAGGTCTGACCCGTGACACATTTCTATGATACATATGTATGGGACTTAATAAGGGTTTGAAGATAAAGGTTTATTAGAGAAAACGAGAGTAGAGAAGAAGCTTTATAAATTGTATCGATTTCTTCTACTTGATTAATTGATTTTCAAATTCAGATTTTTATATTCATATGTTATCGTCGATTAACGATCAACTTGGCTTTCTATCAAAGGTAAACAAAAAAAGTATTATTTGATTTTAGAGTTTTTACAAATTTACAGTTATGTTATGTAACACTTTTTTTTTTTTTTTTTTGTGGTCGTGGAGTTTCAACGTTTTTATGTTACAAAGATGAAACCGTCGTTAAACATGATTTTTATTTTAAATTAGGATCTACTGAAATATTGGAAAGATAACTTTGAATGCTATGAAAAAGTGGCTTACATGGCTTGTGATATTCTTTGTATTTCTATCGAAAATATGGTAACTCTTTAATCATTTTAAGCATTAAAGTTTGATTTGTGAACAATTTTCTTCGAGAAAAATGTTCACACACTAATAGTCTAATAAGTAGTAATTTAATTTCGAGTCACAATTGGTTGCCGAGTTTTGAGAATTTACAATCATGAATTTATGATACTAAATTTAAGATTTGTTTATGCTACTTTATGTAATATACTTTAGAGTAGAGAAAGAGGATAAACTTGACGATAAATATATACTTTTTCCTTCTTCTTTTTTCTGTTAATCAGTGGTGATCCGGATTTTATCACCGCAATAATTTGTTTAAGCGAATTTCACCGTCGGGTAGTTTATTCACAAAATGTTTAATGAGCCTAAAACATAGCATCAATTAGACAAGACAAATAGAAGTGAAATCGGATTTAGAGAGAAAACGAATTAACACCATGTCACTGATGAGTTTTATACCACTCGGTTCACTCTTCCTTATTTCCAAGCAAATATGAACTAAACCGGAGTTTTTTTTTTTGTTCATAACTTAACTGCAGTTTGAAACTCAAAGTTCTTTTACCTATAGCGGCGGCTCTCGCAAACTTTCATTTTCCGTATTACCCAAGTTTGTCCTCCATCTGCGGCCGCCGGCCATGGTTTCAGTTTTATCAAGAAAATAATGGTTTCAGTTTCTTATAAACAACATTGTTGATAAAAATACGAACATATACATTGATCTTGACTGGCTATATTTGTAACGTCTTAGAACATTGTGGGTTAAAACATAACAAATTAAACTAAAAGCTAAGTAAGATCCAAATGAGAACATTACATTTTCATCACTAATTCTATAAAATACAACAATAAAAACAAAAAAAAAACATAGTAAGTCGATAATCCATGGCGTACAAGATCAGTTGGCAACAACGAATTAAATTGTACGCTTCGATTACAATTTTGTGACTCATTACATGCATACATATGCATACACATGCATGTAATCAAGCAAAGGAACATTAAATAGAGGAAGTAATTAAAAGAAGATGAGAGAAACTAGCAAATATTAAAAGCTCAACACCCAACCAACTCTTCTTCTTCTTCCATCCATTACTCTTCACTGATTCAGCTTTTCCTCCTCCTGCCCCATCTATATATATCATATAAAGAAATTATAAAATCAGTAGTTTTAATACTCCAGTAATTAATTATACATCTAATTATATATTATCATGGGATTATAGATTAATGGTTAATTAAACAAATGAATAACTAAAGTTAATTACCTTTATGAATTTGTGAAGTAGATGTGGAGTTGTAATTGTCTTCAATCCTTCCTAAGCTCTCAAACTCTTTAGCCAATGTTGAGTTTCGAGGTATATGCAGAATCGCTTTTCCAATTAATCAAAAAAAAAAAAAAAATAGTTAACTAACTCAATTTAAAATTTCACAGTAATTAATTAAAAATTTTGTAGGTTGTAAGAAAAATACATATCATTAATTTATCAAATCAATTGAATTTGAAAATTATTGTTGTTGTTGTAAGAAATTAATTTCCATATGGTATAACAACTGAAATGAAGAATATATACTTCATAATCTAAATCATAAAACTGTACACTGTACCACATGGTTTACCTAATATGTGATAACAAAATTAGATAAAAACTAAAACTAAAAAAGAAGAAGTATATTGTACATACTATAACAAAAAAGCTTCATAAATAAGAATACATCATGATCATTAACCAAAAAAAAAAAAAAAAAAAACTACATTATACATATTATAAACTTCTGTCATTTAAATAGTATAACAGCTAAAATGTAGAATGCTTCAACATATTTATTATAAAACCGTACATTGTACCATGGATTATACCTAGTATGTAATCTCCAAAAAATCGACTTTCAAAACTCAAAACTAAAAAAAAAAAAATCAATATATATATATATATCCTTATTATACACACTAATAAAAAATGAGTCTCAGAAAACTTTAAAACAACAAATAAACTTTAAGAATAAGATTCTATATGTCTACATATAACAAGAGATAGATAAAGACTTACAAATACAGTCGGTGATGTTAGGAGCCGTTATATGACAAGCAGAGGGAAGATGAGCGGCTAGGGATGCATTAATCTTGATACCAAGTTGAGGATCATCTTTGTCTCTGACCAATATGCAAACACACTTCTCACTCTTTCTTATAACTTGGCCAAACCCTGCACAACAATCTTTTGTTGGAGCCTTGGCGTCTCCTCCAACGTACGGAATACACGTCGAGAGTTCTATGAGCTGGTTCGTACACTCCTCTCTGTCTTGAGCCAGATCAGAGTTTCCAATCCCTAGCAACATGGAGGTTATCACGATGGTTATGAATAGGCTTCTTGTTGAGTGCTCCATGGTTCGATGTGTTGTGCTCTCTCTAGATTTCTATATATGTTTGTGTTGATAATACAATGTTTGCTAGATAGAAACGTGTCCTTTAGTCTCTTTGTATGATCATATATATGGCTATGTGACTGTCGACGTAATTGGTTGGATGATGGGATCATTTATTGCCCAAGATTTAGAAAGCCTTTTTTCAAAAAATATATTTATTGCCCAAGATAATAATTTTTGAACGTGTGTATATATATATATATATATGAGTGTTAATGATGGTTTACAATTTTTTCAAAGGAATCAGCCAGATCATTGGTGAGAAAATGAAAACAACAAAAACGTTAGCGCATATAAATTGGACATAACTGATTTTATTAGCGGGTTTCGAGGTTTTTGGGGTTTAAACCTTAAAGGTATTTTGTCTTTTTAATTTTCCTGAAAATAGACAGTCTTTTGATTGTTAGTGTTAAATGGTAGGTATTTTTTTTCCAGCCAAAGAAATAGTTTGTCCATATTATGACTTTTTTGCAAACTAGTTTTTTTTACCGGTTATAGTTTGATAGTAAAATTTATGAAATATTGTGAATTTCTAAAAGTAGACAGTCCACAGTACATGTGGGTCAATAAATATTTGAAAAGATCAAGGGTAGAATCTTTAAATCTGTCGAGGACTTAAAAACCAACTAGACCAACTAATTTGGTACTTTTTCTAAATACCAAATCTACAATTTATTGAATAATTATTTTGGATCCTCAATAATTGGATAGAGATCTTCATATAAACATATTGATAGAGATTGAAGGTGGTGTCACATCGCAACGTTTCTATTATATCAATTATTCAATAATTAATTTCACCATATTGTTTTGGTGTTATTTCAATCATATTATTCCATTTTTTGAACCATACGTCTGCATGATATAATCATAATTTTTGAAGGTAGGTGGCTAAATGATAAGCCCAAAATTTATGAGAGCAATTAATGGTGGTCGAGCCCTAGGAACTCTGCAATTTGAAATGCATGTGATTGTGATTTTTAATTTAAGCCATTCGAATTATTGTCCTTTTCTGGCTCTAGTTTTGTATAATATCAAGCTTGGTGCTATTCTTGCATGCAGATTTTGTAAAACTGAAACGAATTTTTGTTTTTACCGACTGAACTATAAAACTACATTTTTCATGGAGCTAAAATCCTAGCTAAGTTTCTATTTTGGCCAATAGGTAAGTTACTTTCCTATAGACGGTTGCTTTTATCAAATCTCACTCAAGAAATAAACAGAGTTTTGCGAAAACAGAGACTGAAAACTCAATCCATTAATAAAATTCAGATTGTTCTTAAATAGACCTTACAAGGAAGCAAAACAGAAGCTACGAAACTTAAGCTACTGGACTAACGTCCTGAGTCTTTTTCCGACTAAGGAGCTGACTTATTCAACAACGAAAGCGTCAAAATAAGAGATAAACAAAACCGAAATAAACCAAGAACCTACAGACCGGTTGATGCAGGCCCAAACCGGACTGAGCTGTTATTCTTCATTCCCTCCCTTAAACTGAAAACCATCTCCTTTTCAGTTTACACTTCTCTGATTCTTACTCCCATTCTTCCCCGAAGCTCTTCGAACACCTCACGCTTCACAGCCTTGGTCATGATGTCTGCAATTTGATCTTTGGTTGTGCAGTAGTTGAGCCTAAGAGTTCCTTCTTTCACCAGTTCTCTTAGAAAATGGTACCTCACATGAATGTGTTTGCTTCTTCCGTGCAAAACAGGATTCCTTGACAGCTTTATGGTGGAACTGTTATCACAGAACATGAGTGTACCTTCTTCTTGTCTGAAACCAATCTCCTCTAAAACATTTCTGATCCACATTGCTTGACAAGCACCATAAGCAGCAGACACAAACTCAGCCTCCGTTGTTGATAGTGTCACGATTGGTTGCTTCTTCGATGCCCAAGCAATTGCTCCTCCTCCTAACATGAAAACAAACCCGGAAGTGCTTTTTCTGTCATCAACATCACCGGCGTAATCACTGTCAACAAAGCCAGTCAACTCCGTTGTTCCTCCACGTTTGTATTGAATCCCGAGCCCTTGTGTTCCCTGAATATATCTCAAAATTTTCTTCACTGCCAACATGTGTTGCTCAGTTGGGCTTTCTATGTACCTGCTAACAAGATTCACAGAGAAAATCAGGTCTGGTCGTGTGGTAGTTAAGTACCTCAAACTCCCAATGAGTTGTTTGAACTCAGTTGGATCTACAAGATCACCGACTCCTGCCTTTGTTAGCTTATGCCCGGGCACAATCGGATTCTTGACTGAATTGCTTCCCTCCATACCATACTTCTTAATGATTTCTGCAGCATATTTCCTTTGGTTGATGAAGATACCCTTTTCGTCTTGTATTACCTCAACTCCCAAGAAGTATTTCATCTTCCCTAGATCAGTCATAGAGAACTCTTCCATCATCGATTTCTTAAACCCCTCTATCATCTCCATCGAGCTTCCTGTATATATGAGATCATCCACATACACACTTACCACCAAGACATCACCTCTCTCCTTTTTCACGAACAGTGTATGCTCACAGTAGCATTTTTCGAACCCTTCTTTGCCAAAGTACCCTTCTATACGGCTATACCAAGCTCTCGGTGCTTGTTTTAGACCGTATAAGGCCTTTTTCAGCTTGTACACTTTGTTGGATTCTGCTTCTACTTCGAATCCCTTTGGTTGTTCAACGAACACATCTTCCTTCAGGTCTCCATGTAAAAAGGCACTTTTTACATCAAGTTGGAAGACTCTCCATTCCTTTTCAGCTGCTAAGGCAAGAATCAACCTGATCGTATCCCACTTAGCTACTGGTGCAAACACCTCATCGAAGTCAATTCCATATCTCTGGTGGTAACCCTTTGCGACCAATCTTGCTTTAAACTTGTCAATTTCTCCTCTCTCATTGAATTTCGTTTTGAAGATCCACTTCAACCCAATTACTTTTGCTTCTTCTGGCAGCTCAACTAACTCCCACGTGTTATTCTCCTCTATTGCGGTTATCTCAGCTTCCATAGCCTTCTTCCATACCTCCATTTGAACTGCATTTTCAAAGTAGTCCGGATCATCTGGTCCGATGAATAACACAAGCATTTCATCCTCTTCTTCTTCTGCGATGAGTATCTTTGCGTTTCCAACAACATAATCTTTCATCCAGACCGGTTGTTGTATCTGTCTACCGCCTCCTGTTTCAACTACCAGAGGGATTTGATGAGCTGTTTCTTCTACAGCTTCTTCTTCTTCTTCTTCCTCTAATTCCTCTTGATCATGTTGATTATTGTGATCGATTTCTAGACCTTCTTCCCTAGTAGGTTCATTATCGGAATCATTCCAAGTGAGCTCTTGCTCCAGCAACTTATCTTCCCATTCCCATCCTTTGTTTTCGTCAAAGTGAACGTCTCTGCTAATTAATACTTTACCGGTAGCAGGATCATAGAGACGGTAGGCTTTGGATTCTTTGCTTATGCCAAACATCACACACTTGATGCTTCTCTCATCAAGTTTGATTCTTCTCTGGTATGGGACAAGGGCGTACGCTAAGCTCCCAAAAATTCTCAAATGCTCTACTGATGGTTTCCAGTTACTCCACTTCTCCTCTGGGGTTACATCATTTAGAGCCTTTGATGGACTCCGGTTCAGTATGTACACCGCATACTGCACAGCTTCTGGCCAAAACTTCCTTGGCACCGACCTCTCCAACAACATACACCGCGTCATGTTCATCACACTTTGATTCTTTCTCTCTGCGACTCCGTTTTGTTGTGGCGTATATGCTGCTGTGAGTTGTCTCTTGATCCCAAATTCTTTGCAGTACTCTTCAAACTCCCTTGAGTTGTATTCTCCTCCTCTATCTGACCGCAAGCAGACCAACTTATTCCCAGATTCTCTTTCGACTTCAGCCTTAAACTCTTTGAAGAACTGAAATGTTTCTGACTTCTCCGACAACAAATACGTCCAACACTTCTGACTGAAATCATCTATGAAATTAAGTATGTACCTTTTCCCGCTGGTTGACGTAGGATTAATCGGTCCACATATGTCCGTGTGAACAAGCTGCAGCACCTGCGTCGATCTCCACATACTCTCCTTCGGAATCGACTCTCTGATTTGCTTTCCCTTTAAGCATACCTCGCATGTGATATCTTCATCTCCATGAGCAAATTTGGGCAGGCCTTTTACCATATCCTTTTCAGCTAACGATCTCAAGCCTTGGTGATTGAGATGACCAAATCTCTTGTGCCATAGGTTGTCAGATTTTTCAATCACTTGCAGACATCGCGTCTCTTCTGTCTCTTTCACCTTTTTGACTATCGCAAAAATTACGAACATGCGATTCTTTGTCATCGTTGAGTGCATCACCATTCTCTTCTCTGACTTGTGCCACACTTCACACACATCGCTCTCAATGATGAATCTCAACCCTTTTTGTTGAAGTTGACCCACACTAAAAAGGTTATTCTTCAACCCTGGCACAAAGTACACATCAGAGATCACTTGAGTTCTCCCATCTATCTCAAGTCGTAGTTTTCCTCTTCCTTCTACAGTCATTCTTCGATCATCTCCCAACTTCACATTCTGTTTAAAATTGCCGTCTAACTCGATAAACCACTCCTTCGTACCACACATGTGATTACTGCACCCTGAATCTAGAAACCAGATTTGTTGTTTTTCTTCTTCACCGATCTGTTCTACATGAGCCATGAGAAGCAGGTCCTCTTCCATCTCTATGTAATTCGCCTCCTTCTCCCAGCTTGGACATTCGGCCTTGTAATGTCCCATCTTGTGGCATTTGAAACACTCCACCGTGTCTCTGCTCACAAACCCACGTCCTCTTCCTTGGTAACTTCCTCTTCCTCTACCACGGTTTGGACTTCCTCCTCTACCTCTTCCTCCATCTGGCCTCCATTGAGTTTCGGCCTTCAAGACTCTCTCCTCTACATCATGTCTGCTCAAATTCTGCTCATGCACCATTAGAGAACTTTGTAGTCCGTCCACTGTCATCACCTTGATGTCGTTGGACTCTTCAATTGCACATACCACATATGTGAATTTTTCGACCAATGTTCTAAGAATTTTCTCTA